AATTCGCAGCGCCAAGCGACGTCGATTTGACGAAGGCCCTTCGAAGTCGAAGACTCGCAACGATGCCGACGCAGACGATGAATGGCTGCTGGATGAGGCCGATGAGTCTGGCGCCGCACATGACGGCGATGCCATGTCTGGACTGAGCAAAGAGACCAAGGACATCCTTTCTAGATTCGGGCTGGGCAACCTGAAGGCGGAGCAAGAGGAGGACAAGGTCGAAGACGGAGTCAAGGTGCGCAAGCCCCCTGCCGCTGGTGGGCTAGTCGGTAACATGTTGGTCAGATATACTACACGTCAAGAACGCATTCTCAACTCACGCAATTCATCCATGAACTTCGACGCCCCGCCTTTCCATCATCTATGCCACCATCGGTCAAGCCCAACGATAGTGAAGATGCCCGGCCGGACAAGGAGCCAGTCAAGCATCTACCCCTTTCCTCCCGTCAGAAACTGTGCATCAACCCATCCGTGGCGAAGTTGGGCACGATATCTGCCATCAATGACCGATGCTCAGAACTGCAGAAGCCCAAGGCCAAGGATAAATGTCCTTATACGCTGAACGAAGACAATATCAAGCAGACTCACCAGTTTCGAGACACAGCCCACGCCACCCTTCCCGACATAGAAGACCTCTATCATATTGGCAAAAAGCTCGAAGTATGTCCGTATTATGCCTCAAGGGCGGCTATCGCAGGGGCTGAGATCATTACCTTGCCGTATCCGCTCCTTCTGCAAAAGAACGCCCGAGACGCCCTGGGCATCAAGTTGGAGGGCAATGTAGTGATTGTCGATGAGGCGCACAACATCATGGATGCAGTAGCCAACGTATATGCGTCGGAAATCAAACTAACGGAGCTGAGACGGGCGCGGCAGATGCTGGGCGTGTACGTCAAAAGATTCGGCAAGAAATTGAAGGGAGAAAACCGTGTCATGGTCGGCCAGGTTGGCCGAGTCATCGAAGGCCTCACCGAGTGGATGAGTGGGGCCTTGACGCTCAAGGTATACCTTCGTCATTCTTCAGGCTTGGACATCACTGACCAGCTCGCAGACACCTCATGGCATAGTTGACTCTAAGGTGCTCCTTCGATGCAAGGGCGTGGACCAAATCAATCTCTTTAAGCTCATCCAGTACATCCAGGAGTCCAAGCTCGCCTACAAAATTGAGAGCTATGTCGCTCACGTTGAGGAGGAGATCGCCCAGGCCAATGCTGGCAAGGCACCACCGAGATCGTCGACCCCGGTTCTGCACATCTTGTCATCGTTCCTGATTTCTCTCACGAACCTCAGCTCGGAGGGCCGCATATTCTACGAAAAGACGTCATCTAACTCGCCAGACATTCAACTTTCTTATCTGCTACTCTCGCCCACCCATGCATTCTCGTCCATCGCCACGAGTGCCAGGGCAGTCATTCTGGCCGGTGGTACCATGTCCCCCTTTGAAGACTACAAGGACCACCTCTTCCCCTACTTGTCGGACTCGAAACTCACGACGCTCAGCTGCGGCCACGTCATACCGCCGTCGAACCTCTGCGTGTGGACGCTCGCAGGCACGAAACTCGGCGCCAACAGGGACATCAGCTCCACGTTTGAGTTCAGCTTCCAGCGCCGAAGCGATAAGGCGATGGTGAGCCAGCTGGGCCTGGCGATTCTCAACATCTGCAACGTAGTTCCCGACGGTGTCGTCGTGTTCTTCCCAAGCTACGGCTACCTCGACGAAGTTGTCGCGGTATGGGAGACCAAGAATCCCGGCGAGTCCAAGTCAATCTGGGACCGCATGAGAGAGAGGAAGGAGGCGTTCAAGGAGGCTCGCGGCGGCTCAAGCGACGAGGTTCTGGAGGCCTACAGTAAGGCCATCCTAGGTGACGGCGAACCTAGCGCAGGTGCAGCACCCAAGCCTCGCGGTGCGATCCTTCTAAGCGTAGTCGGCGGCAAGATGAGCGAGGGCATCAACTTTTCCGACCGCCTCGGCCGCTGCGTCGTCATTGTCGGGCTACCGTATCCAAACCTCAATTCCCCCGAATGGAAGGCCAAGACGGAGTACATCGAGACGACGACTATCCAGCGGCTAACCGACCCGTCGGTGGCCACGAGAATGTCGAGAAACGACGCAGTCGCAACAGCAAAGCAGACGGCGAGGGACTTTTACGAGAATGCCTGTATGCGAGCGGTTAACCAAAGCATTGGGCGAGCTATCAGACATCAGGGCGACTACGCAGCGATTGTCCTCGTCGACAGAAGATATGGAAGCGACAGGATCCGGGGGAAACTCCCAGGATGGATTCGTGGGGGGATGGACAATGGCAGCCACGAAAAAGGACTACCGCAACTGATGGGGGCGTTGAGCGGATTCTTTCGGTCGAAGCGCACCGGCGCGTCGTGACTTTAGAATACCTGTAGCTGGGATTTGACAGTCATCAGTAAAGTGGTAGCTCATCGAGTATGGCACGCGCACATCGAGATTCCCGAACCAACTGTCCAATCCGAGCCGCCGGAGCTGCTCCGGTGCAACCCCTCAGGGGTAGCACACTAGGTGGCAGCACATTTCAACCCTTGGCCGGTTGTCCAAAAAAGGCCAGGGTGGAATGGCTGGGCTGTGAACTTTGTGACTTATGCATGCCTCTGATTGTGAGGAAAGCAGGCTGAGGCATTGGTATTTCCGCTGCGGGCTCGAGGTATGGCGACACAGGGTCTTTTTAACAGACTTAGGGCTGCTTGAAGGGAAGCTGAAGAAAGATCTTGAGTGCCGATGAAGGGATCAAAAACCGATTCACAGATATTATAGTGGATGGCCGGCGGGAATGCGTTCTGGGTGGTGGCGTCTGTCAAAGTGTAATGAGTGAAAATGAAGCGTTTCTCGCGCCCGGACAACGCTGGAAGCTGGTTGAGGGGCCGCGTCTGCCTTTTGAGGCTTGCAAGAAAGCATCGGCTGCTCGAATGAAGTCATAACGGCGACCCAAGGGAACACAGGGGCATGAAGCTTCAGGGTCTGGTCCCCACCGAGAGGAAAGTCTAGGCGAAAGTCTCTCTGGGGTGGTTCCATGGCGGCTGTCTGCTAGGACCCTGAAAACCAAAGCTGAAGGCTAAAACGGGCGGGCAGCGGTCGATTGGGACGAAACGGAGTCGACTCCGGCTATGTTGGGGGGATCAACCCAAACCGCACGTGGAAGAAGCTTTGAGGACGCAGAGATGAAACCACATAAGCAGACAGTAAGAATATCATGCTCAGCTTCCACTGGCTACTTTGCCGTCAAACGACAGGTGATAAGCAAGCTCTTCTCGGCCGTGGCCCTTGATGAGCGGCCAATGACACGCCTTGCCTCTCCGGAGGCCAGCCCGAAGACCAGGAACAACGGCTGAGGAGGGACAGCCCACAAGCCACATCGCCATCCATGCCCGCCAATGACACGTTGTGGAAGGCCGGACGCCCTTCCAGCCAATTGAGGCTGATCGGAGAGGACCCCGCCAATCAGCGGTGGTTTTCGAGGTGAAAAAAATAAAATAAGAAATCTCCGCCCCCTTGCGCTTCTTTTCATTGGGTTTTATGTATGTCGTCTTTTCGGCCTTCTGCGTTCCTCGTCGGGCATCGGTATCTCCATTAAGGCCTTCACAGACACCGTGTCAACCTATTTCATGCCTCACTGTATCCCCTGGCGCCATAGAATTGGTTCAAGGGCCCAGGGCACACCCGGAGACGGGGCCCAGCAGCTGAGAAACACCTCAGGGTTGATAGATGTGTACTTGTCAACATGAAGTCATTGCTAACACACTGCTCCCACCGCTCGTAATGGTGTTCAGGCCACTTCAAGATGCGGGTGGAGATCAACTGGGAAATACTGGTCCAATGGCACTATCGTATCATGGACATGTTTGTTTTAGCAAATGGAGGGGTTCATTATTCTGCCCAGGCTGTGTTCTCGATGTCCCATCACGCCGCCCATCTTGTGCTTCGGGGGCTTGCATGTGTCATCAAGTCACTGTGCAGGATGGGCCGGTAGTCCCGAGGTGCCATGCCTCCCCCCTTATCATGGCAGTGAACAAAAGGTGGCCCAAATCCGTCTGCTTCGCCTAGATGTGTGCCAACTGCCAAACTCTCTTCTTGCGCCCCCCAGCATCCTGTTTTCCCACTGCGCTGCAGGGGCCTGTTGCTCGCCAGACACACGCGACCTCTCAAGTAGCTGTGCCGCGCTGCACTTCGATCCTCGTCGATGCCTAGAACATGACCGCATAAGTTGCGGGCCATGACGTGCCCGTCCTTGTAGTGGCAGATGGGATCTCGATTTCCGCCTGCTACTATTTCTTTCTTCGACATAGAACCCACAACGTGGCGCCTCAGCTCAGGGCCTAGACCGGACGCTGGCCTCATGTGTCGGGTGATGCAACGATCCCCTTTTGACACAGTTTTGACGCATAGGACACATGTTCAACCGAAGACGAAAATCCAACCGACCTTTCTAAGCCGTGGACGAACGAGACGAAAAAAAAAAACGAAAAAAAAAACGAAAAAAAAAAACCGAAAAAAAAAAAACCGAAACCCGATCGAGCACCAGGATCATACAGAGAGTAGTCGCAGCAACCTGCAGGCGTGTCTGTCCAAAAGGAGATCATCGAAGATTCTTCGGCGTCCTTGACGTCTGTCATTGTCATACCCGGCAGCATGCGTCCAAGGGGACAGGAAACTCCAAAATCGGTTATTGATGTTCTATTTGCCGGTCAACGATTGATCGTTGCTCCTGCTGCTAGTAGCATCTGACAAATTCAATGCCTGCTCCTACACCAGCCCTGGGCCCTGAGCCCAACCCTTTTTCTTTTCCGCGTCACAGCACCTTTGTTGTCTTACCACAGAAGATCATGGGTACCGTCCGCAAATTTTGTCCTAACATCGTCAACGTCCGCCGGCTAAACGTGTAGAAAGCCGCGGCTAAAGAAGACAGATTCCCAGGTCCTCCTCCCAGTGTTGGCGTCAAATCGTCGCCGTGGGTCTCATCGATCCTTGCACATCAGCCCTCCACGTCGGAAACAAGCGTCTCACCTGACATCTCCGGCTCTTCCCTCGCCGCCGTCACCATCGTGAATTCGTTGAGTATCGCAATCTCCTCAAACTCCGCTGCCAACCTGTCGACCAACGCCGCCGTTCGATCCATCATGCAAAGGTCGAGGTCAAGAACGAATGGTGCCACCATCTCTGCCTCCGGATGATGCTTTCCTTTTTCCTCCGAATCCCTGATAATCGCTCGCGCCTCCGCGGACGTGATCAAACCCTCCCGCAGAACCATTGATAGTAGCCCACGAACTATCACTTGCGAGAGTCTGAAACATCTTTGCAGCTTTTGATAGCCAAGAATGCACGTGCGGAAGTCAGATCGTCGCTCGGAGATGTCAAGAGCCTGCGTCGGTTCGCGAATGGCTGCGTTGGCAACATACAACAGCGCCGTATGCCAAAGGAAGCTGTGCGAGGCGGACGCACAGGTTTGAAGGTAGGTCGTCGCGATTCTTTTTAGCTGGGTTGCCGAAGCGGAACAAACAACTTCAGGCGAGGCCTGCTTGGAGGTGAAAGCCTCGAGTTTGATGCGCATCCCTTCCCCGTGTTGAATCAGAGGCCGAAACAAGTCCAGAACGAAGGCGTGAAAGTAGGTGCTGCGGTCAACCCAGTTAGCTTGCTCGCGTCCCCGATCTCGTTTCTTGGCCACGTCCTCCGTGATACTTTCGAGCAAGTTGGGCACTTACTGCAGGATGAGTACATGATGTCCGCTCTCGCCGCTGCGTACTAGTTCCAGGGGTAGATCGTCCGCCCATGCTAAGAAACGACTGTAAACTGATTCCATAGCCTTCACCATCGCATACGGCGTCTTGGCCATGGGGTTGGCGGCGTAGTTCATCCACATCATGTCATGGGCTATCAAAACCAGCTTGCACAAGAACGGGAACGTCCGCCCCGTGTAAGTTGGTGATTTCAGCTGCTCCAACACGTTCATCCACTTTTCTTCGCCGTTGTCTCCCGGGATCGGTGCTCTCGGCGGAAACTCGATTTTGCACGTCTTTTCTTGCGCGCATTGTATCCTGTGTACTGTCAGCGTTTCTGACCAGCTACAAGCCGAAGCGGAATGCTGTATCGCATGGAAGCTGAGGGGACACTGCAAAACGTACGTGATGTGGACAAAACTACCCCAAGCAGTTTGCGCCATGGCTTTCTCCCACAATACGTCGACAGCACCGCCTAGCCACTTTTCCGCCGTCTCGTTCTCGGCGATGCCAAAAAGCCCAATACTTTTACCGAGTTCAATCGCGCTTTCGAGATGTTTCGTGGAGTCCGTTCCACTTTTCGCGTGGCACATGGAGGACATGCTGAGATAGAGCAACGCCGCAACCGTGACCGGCGTCAAAAGTCCCAAAGAGCGTTCCTGCTCTAGAAGTTGGATTGCCTCGTCGTAGAATGCATGACTCCATCCGGCTGCCTCCATCTCGAATGCGGTGTACAGTTGCTGTCGCCGTGTCAATTACGTCCGTCGCTCCAATCCTACAGACAAGAGTAAAACTCTTACACAAGCCCAGCTGAGAAGAGAACTGAAGAGAAGCCTGGAGCAAAAACGGTTGTTGCCAGAGATCAGACTGTCGAAAAACAAGTCCACGTCGAATAGCGCTGTGACGGTGTGATCTGTCACGAGATACAGAGAGATGGCTTTTCGTGCTGCTCCCGAGGGTATGGGAACATTCGTCCACGCCGCGATGTCAACTTTGTGCAGTCTTTCGTCGCAAATCGCGTAGGGCTCCGCCAATCCCGTTTCACGACTGCCTGGTACGCTGAGGCTCAGATTGGAAGAGCTGCTGTCTCGTGCTTCTTGATGCCTGACCCTGCTGCTGGACAAGGAGGATTCCGAATCTGTGGGTGGCATGGGGGAAGGGGTGTCGGTTGACATAGGCGAAACTCTGAACTGCGGTTAGCTTTCAGCAACAAGGGAGACGGTCCGCCAATGGCGAGAAACGGCGCCTCTGCGATGGAGTCACCACAGAACGCTATTGACCTGTTGGTTCAAAGGGGCAAACCTACGCTGCCGATGGAGAATCAATCGAAATGCTCTGGCTGGGCCTCGCTGGAACCTCAAAATACAGGTGCGGGAGTTCTGTTGGGGCCCAAGGTGAGTAGGCGATGGCATGGCGCACCATCAATTCAAACTCCAAGGAATTCTGATCGGGAGGCAGAACGCCGTGAAGAAGACCATGGAAGGGGAGATCATACGCCGAATGCAGTTGACCTCGTAGAGTGGTGACGATGTTTGATGCGTCTCTTCCGGCCCGCAACTGCTGAAGGACATCTCGTACTTGGTCATCCGGAAGAGAGCGAAGAATGCTGAGCAACTCCGCAGCGTACCTGTGAGTTTTCGCCGTTGTCTCATCCAACAGCTTCATCCCCGATGGGATGGAGTTGAGAATAGTCTTCGATATGGTGGCGTACTCGCAAGCAAGACCGCGACGCTGGCAATGGCTGCAAGGCTGTAGGCCGTTGCACTAGAAGGAAGTCATCAGCAGCCGAAGAAACCATGGCTAGTCAACAGGCGTGCACGCAGGTAGACTATCCACCACGAGGACGATTGATCAAGGGTACGGTAGCCCCCGTCGAACGAAACACATGGACAAATCGCTCACGCAAGACCGCAGTATATTGAACGTCTTCAAGCCAGTGAGAAGTTGACAACTGTTCGAATTCTGACCGGCGAGCAAGAAATCGTAAATGACGGTTAGGACTGAGCCACGTACCCCTATCTTCTTCTCTCTACAGCCGTTGCATGCCTTGCTCGTCGCTCGGCGCTTCCTCTTGGAGCCCTCTTGCCCGCCGGCACCTCCGCTTGTTGAGGAAGTAGCATCTCCATTGTCATCGGCAAGAGATCTCGGGTTGTTGGCTGGAGGACCTGGCAGAATGCTCCTGTATTTGCGTTCCGGTTGCATGGGCTGCTGAGTTGCGGCGAGGATGCCTCTTGAGGATGGGCTGAAGTCGCAGAGGGGTTGGCGGCGGAGCAGCGATCGGGGAAGTCAGGGAACGGGCGATGACGGTGAATGAATAACCTCATAATAAGCCGCAACCGTTGCTGATACAAAGTCTTTATGCTAAAAGAGAAGATGGAAGAATCGGGTCGCGCTCAGGGAAACAGAGAAAGGCCATCAACGTTTGGTATCTGCTGAGAGAGGCACACACACACCAAGGTACTGTATGCCCAAGCACGGAACACGCAGGTGGAGGGGGTAGTCATTGTGTTGGTGCATTGGTGGCCGGGGTGGGCATGGGATTACAAGTACCTGCGTAACAATTTCTCATTTGGGTGGCGGCCTGACGGGTTACTCGGAAAACACCCACACTGTGTTTCTCTTTTCGCCCAGTACATTCTCATCAAGCGTTGAGATGACTTGCATGCCGTATCGCTCCGCTTCACTGTTCAGGATTAGCGCTGGACCGTCATGTTGACTATTTTCTTCCGCCTCGTTTCTTCACCTCTTAATTTCATGAATGCAGGGTCGGATATTCTCTCACCGTAACGCCTATTGAGTTCCTTTGCTGGCTTCAAGTTTGCGGTTTGTTCTCTGAAATGGACGCAATCCTTGGAAAGCTGATTTGGCAATTGCAGAAGCTTCCCATTTCAACACCTTACCAAAGCAGAACATACCGACTTGTTGAAGTAGACGATACGTGATCCGAATTTTTTTTCTTACAGTTTTTCCGATGGTCCAGGCCCTCATTGAAAATGCGAGAAGCCAAGAGACGGCCGGCTGATTGGCCTGTCCCAGAGGACCAGACGCGATCTAAGGTGGTGCCCATTGCATTCGGCATCGAGAACCCACAGAAATTCGAGGCCCCGGATACCAGAGCGTGACTTAGCCACGCAAGATCCTAGCAGATATCAGCTGTGTGGTTGTGTGTGCTCATGAGTGTCTGAGAACGGAAGAGAGAACATGGGATGGCAATCCACTGAAATCTGACCTCGCCATAGAAACAGATAGATCCTTACCGTTTTGGCTTCTCAACGATTGAATTACGTCAAAATTAGCAGCAAAACGTCTGTAGTCAAACGAGGGCCATCAGAGAAGCGTGGTGAGATCAAGGCTGGGAATAGAGGCCATGTTCAGCCATTGTTCCATGGGGTCCCGAGCAATCGGACATGGGCAGGCTAATCGAGGAGGTCGCTTCCCGTCGTCACTGTAGCGGGGGGTGCAGGTGGTCATCCCACGTCCAAGCTTTCCGAATCCAGGGGAGTATTCCACCTGACAGCTCGAGTCGACCAACGGTCTTGGATGTCAGTGGCATCGCGGTGGGAACAGTCCAAAGTGGATTGCTTGGGGGTTTCAAGTGTCTGGGCAAGCTTTAGAGCGGTCGGTGGAAAAGCGACGGCTTGCCAGAGCCCTGTTACAAGACTAGACTGTACATCAAGTTAGACAAGTCACGACTACGGGGTGAACCACTCGATGTGCAGCCACTTACCAAAACGAGCATGCACCTGTTGGTGAGCGATGGGCAAGTACATAAGGAAGCTTGCCACGGGGCTCCAGGGGGCAGCGACTCGCGCTATGAGGGTTTTGTTCTTTCCTTTTCCTCTTTTTTCCCTCCACCCGCCCGTTTGCCTTGTCCGAAAGGCTTGAGCATGCAGGCTATGTGTATCTTTAGGTGACCTTGGGTAGCGGAGCTGAGAAAAAGTCGTAATGTCGCCGATGTGTGCACATGTGCATGCATCAAAGATGGGAACGGTGACGGAAAGGGACTTCTGGGGCAGGTAAGCGGAATCCAGAGGTCTTCGATGTTTAAATGGTGAATTGACAAGCGCGAGAAGTTTATCCTGATGCTTTTTAGTTATAGGGGAACCTACCTTTCCTTACTTGAGGAACTGGGAGTGAGGTCATAATGACAGCTGAGGGGTTCGCAAGCGAGGGTTGTGATTCGCTCGATTCGGAGTCCTGGTGGTGTCGGTGAATAGGTTGTATCATGCTGAGGGTGATAAAATCAGGGTTCTGCGTCTTGTCATGGGACTGATGGTATAGAAAATCAGGCTTGTCTGGCCATCTTTTTGGGACGATGGCATGCCTGTTGAAGCAATCGAGATCTCGGGGGCCGGATGTGAGTGGACGGGCCATCCTATCCGTACTCGAGGTACGTATCTTACTCCACGGTCTGTATCTGTGCTCTGCACTACATGTAGGAACTTGCGTTGTGGCAGTGAAGGCTGTCACCTTATGTCAGCACCCGAGTGCTCGGTCAGGGACGTACGGTCCTCTAATTACCTTACATAAGGCAAGTGGAGCTCTCAAGGGCTGGTTATGTCAGCATTCCTTCACCCCGCCGTTCTACAACATCATCATCATCTCGGGGGTTGATTCTCATTTCTGGCTGCATCTTGGTCTTTCTGGGCAATTTTTAGTACGTGGCGAAGCATGTGCGGGTGCCTACAACAGACAGGCTGGACACTAATGAATTGCCCAGGTGCCTTGCCGTCCACAGCCACGCTGCATGTCTACTGAGAGGTCCTATGAATTGAATCAATCCTGACTGACCGCCAAAATTGCGTGCAAATGGCGGTTGCCTGGTGCCTGCCCCTCGTTGCCCCTCGTTGCTCCTCTTTCAACCCCGTCCCCCAAGCGAAGAAGCCATCCACAGTCCATCATGACTCTCCAACGTCCACCAACCAAACCAAACCGACCAGTCGCGATGCTACGACGTGGCAAGTGGCCACCCCGCCTGTCACGTCTCGTTTCGCTTCAGGCCCATGTCGAATCCCACGTTGCTGACTTTGCATCCGTCGCGTCGACAAGCTGACGGCAGGGCTGTCACGCCGTACTACCACTTTTCGGGCGCCGCAGTCACCGCCTTGCCTCGCCTGACTTGCTTTCTTTGGTCTTGGCGGCCCTCAAACACTTTGGTTGCTGAAGCTGCCTCAAGCTGGATCGTTCCACCACCAACGCGTCGCGCCCATCTCACAGCCTGCCCTGCCCTGCTCTGCCTGGCGTAACTTGGTTTGGTCTCATCGGCCGTGCTGCTGCGGCCCTTCCCGCGCTCCTCCCGCCACCAAGCTTACCCGTCTGGTGTATAACATTCAACGACTCATCCCGGCCTTGCGCAGGCTACATACCATACACTTTGCTCACCACTTCGTTTGTCGACTTTTGCTCATTCTGACGATCCCACACCCCCACAATCCAACCCCGCCATTCTTGCGCGGGGACCACGGACGCCATCATGGATGAGAAGGCGCAGCTGCTGCGCTCCGACAGCATCCACCGACAGTTTGCGAGGATCCTCGCTGATGCCCAAAAACAATATGCCGATTCCACCGGTCTTGATCTCAAGGACTACATGACCCCGCCCATGAGGACCACTGAAGACCTTCTCAACGTTGTCAACCGCCAGAATGAACAGTTTACGAGCTTCCGCGAGAAGCGCCAGACCTTGTTCCAATGTTTGTCCGCCGCATGCAAGCCCCTCGAAGTCGTCGGCGAAGCCCTGGCTGGCGCATCCGAAGACATTTTCCCACCTGGCCAGACCATCTTCGCTGCCGTCATGTACCTCGTGAACGCCGCCAAGGACGTCTCGGCATGCTACGACTCCATCATCGACCTGTTCGACCAGATGCAGGACTTCACCATTCGACTCAAGTTCTACGTGTCGCAAAAAATGTCCAACGAGCTTCACGATAAAGTCGTCAAGATCCTCGTCACCATTTTTGAAATATTCGTCATCGCGGCGCACGAGGTGCGGAATGGCCGTCTCAAGTCCTATTTCAAGAGACTGTTTGGGAAGGAGAGCAAGGTGCCTGAGGCTATGAAAAAGCTGGCAGCACTCACCGAGGGTGAGGAGCGACTCGTTATTGCAGAGACCAGCGCCGGCGTAAAGCGGTCGCTGTCCAACCAAGACCGCCTGCTTGAAATGATGTCAAGGGTCGATGTTAACGTCCAGACCCTTCGTGCTGAAACACGCGTGCCCCAGACGAGGGAGCAGGCGCTCTCCTCCAACAGAGATAAACTCAAGGGCATCCTGCAGCCCTCAGTATACCCCGAAGACTCTCTCTCGGCCCTTAACAGGACAAGGACCCCAGGTACCTGCGACTGGATCTTGGAGGATCCCTCTTTGAAGGCTTGGCTGGCAGGTGATATTCGCTTCCTCTGGGTTGCAGGAAACCCGGGGACTGGGAAGTCGTATTTGACGTCTCGTCTTGTTTCGTGGGGCCAAGAGCTTCTCAATAACCAAGAGACCACCAGCATGATGGGGTACTTCTTTTTTAAACAGAACAACCCAGAGTCTCGCTCCATGACACAGGCCTTGAGGGACATGGCGTACCAAATCAGTGAACAGGACGTTTTTTACGGCAAGCAGCTCATTCGCGAAGTAGCTACCAGCGATGAGATCAAGACCGTTTCGAGTGCATTCAGGAAACTGCTTGTCGAACCATGCGTGCCCGACAGGTGGAAAAGACATATTTACGTACTCATAGACGGCCTGGACGAGGCCGAACCTCGCGAAGTTACCGAGTTTTTGTCCCTATTGGATGACCTTAATCAGCAATCCGCGGAAGGTACACGGGTCCAAGTCGCATTGATTGGACGACCAAGCCTCTCGGACGACATCAACGACTACGTAGGCAACGACTCTACCGGGGGTCAGCAACTCCGAACGATACACGTTACACCCGACAGAAACAGCTCAGATATTGTATCTTACATTGTCGAAGGCGTGAACTCTGCGCGGATTCTCCGAGGGTCCACCGAAGATTTCAAAGAGAACGTTATCGAGGCAATGGTCAAACAGGTCGACGGCTTGTTCATCTTGGCCAAGTTCATGTTAGCAGAGCTCAGCCGGATACGGCATCCCAGAAGGATCATTGAGAGTTTGCAGTCCTACCCGAAAGAAATCAACGGTATGCTCAAGAAGGCTGTCTTGGGATTCAGCGCAAGCATCACCCAAGAGGAGGCGGACGATCTGAACGAGATTTTACGCTGGGTTTCGGTGGCTGAGATGGGTCTCACACTGGAACAAATCGAGGCCGTCCTTACTCTCAAAATGGGCGATGCACCATTTCGCCTCGAAGAGTCTTTGAGAGGACAGTTCTCATGCTTCTTCACGCTCGAGCGCGAAGATGGTTTATCGACTGCGGATCTTGCCGACCGACATGAACTTCATCGCCGACTTTCTCTTATTGACGTAGACACTGCGAAGAAAACGAGCCCAAGGACAAGCCCGGATTTCTTGGACGTTGACAGGGACATTGAGTACTTCTCAAACAAAAGCACTACATACGTAACATTCTTCCACATGTCCGTCAAGGAGTTCTTCAGGGATGACACATCGACGGATCTGAGAACAGACGCCAAGTCTCCCTCCATCGGCTTTGAGCTGGCCAATGCCAGACTTCACGTCCTGAAAACTTGCCTGCGTATCTTCACTGATCCGACATATTTTACGCTAGGCCACGAAGGTCTCTCTCTGCAACGATACGCTGCGTGGTACTGGCCAGAGCATCTCGAAGACGTCAAACGTTCCGATATCTCAGTGGCTGAGAAGGCAGACATCGGACAGCGCCTTTACACCATGCTTACGGATCCCACTGTGCTCCTGACGTGGACCAACCTCTTTGAGGAGGCGCTGGATATTTGGACAGACAAGAACATTGAGGTGGTCTCCAAGTGGCTGAAAGACCCTGATGTCCTCAGCGGGCTCAGCGTCGAACAGAGAGCATGGGCAACTGCCGCGTCGTCAAGTCCTGCGCGGCTGCTGGAGCCCATGGGTCGAATTTTCGCCAAAGCCTGGGTTGTCGAAGGCTTCGGGATGTACATGCCAACCCTATTCTGTTTCGGTGTGGTGCAGTCCTTGCCTCTCCTCGAGGAGGGTAAACCATGGTCTTACTCCAAGCTGCACTGGCAGGATGTCAAGGTCGAAGAAAGAATCCAAAGAGCCACCGAATGGGCCAACCACCCCAAGACTGGGCATTGGTATCGAAGAATCGGCAGTACGCTTCTCAATCTCGGAGAACATAAAAAGGCACTGGAGTACTTCGAAAACGCACTCAACATTGACAGCAATATCGTAGAGAGCTGTGGTCGCATGGGACTTTGCCACGCAATGAGCGGCAATTTTGAGAAGGCACTCAAGCTTCATCTCATGTGCGAAGTTGTGGAACAGGACCACATGGCCAAGGGCTACTACAAGACTGACCAGGAAATCAAGAACAGCAAATGGAGGCTCTACAAGAACCAAGCTCAGATTGCAAAGTGCTACAACCGCATGGGTCGTGTGGAGAGCGCCATTGCGTATTGCCGAAAAGCCATGCGAAACGCTTACGACACTCCTGAATTTGAGCCAGAGGCTGCCTACATGAGGGTTCTCGCTGAGAACAACCGCGTCACGGAGATGATTGGCCTTTTTGACGAGCTGGACGGTCGATACACGGAAAGGGGAAATTCACGATTTGTCTTGTTTCTTCTGAGCCAAATTCCGGACCCGTCGATAAGGGATTGGTTTCCTCAGGCCGCCGCTCGGACAGGCAAAACGGAGGTTCTTGCAGAGCGCTACGCTTATGCCATCCAGTCTGCACACGACGCGCAAGACTCTCGCAAGGCGTTCTATCTACGAAATTCTCTGGGCAATGTTTACATGGCGGCACAGCAGTATGATAATGCCATTGGCATTCAGGAGAGCATTTGCTTTCACGACTACAAAGCCAGAGGCAGCTTGGCTGTGCGTATCGAGTATATTGCATCTTTCAAACAACTCGCGAGGGCATACTCGTTGAAAGCCCTCGAAGCCGATGAGATGCTGCGATCTGATGCAGTCAACCCCTGGATCGCCAAACTCGAAGAACTCATGGAACAGCAGCGCAAGTATCAAAATAGAAATGTGCCACTCCACATGGCTGGTTTTGACTTCAACGAAGCTTCAATCTACCTGGTTCTTCTTTATCGCCTCCACAAACAAGAAACAGAGTCTCGTAGACTGCTGTCGAAGTTAGTGTCTGAAAGCTTGGATCTGTTGGAGGACGACGAGCCGCAGAACGACGAGATCAGTATCGCCAACCTGCAGCGGACGCTGATCGCGGCAGGTGATACGACAAATGCGCGGGCACTTTGGCAGTCTGCGAGGACACCTCCGGCAGCAACAGCTCTAGCTGGCCACTTGATTGGCGAACGACGCTCAAGTTCGCCCAAAATTGGTGGCCTGTCTCCGCGGAGACACACGAAACAGATCACACTAACAAAGATTTTCACCGAGAGCAGCGATTTCTCTTGCGATCATTGCCTCAAACTGTTTGCGCCTTCCGACAAGTTCGCTGTGTGCTGGTACTGCATCGACTCCAAGTTCTGCTTACCATGCCTGGCTATTGTCAAAAGCCAGAACTTCACACCTGGACACACGTCTCCATGCAAGCCGAGCCACGAATGGCTGATTGTGCCGCCATTGCCGAAGGACCTTCAGGCCGGAGAGATTTTCGTGAGTGGGCAGGTGCAGAAGCTAGACGAGTGGAAGTCAGCACTACGGCAGAAGTGGGTGCAGTCGAAACCTGTCGCGGGGCTCGGTATTTTCTAGCTCACATCATTGCGAATGACGACGGCCTTGGCAATTTTGTAGATCCTCGAATAACAGATCCATATTAGTTTAGACTTTGGAGTAGGGAAGATTCATTGGAGTACAATCTAATCGAAGTACCCTAGTACTCGCGTATCAAACACCTTCGCCGTGCCTATGCTGCATTTCTGAATTCTTCATAGATACCTGCCTTGTTGCAATGTACAGAGTTAAAGCTCGTCGTGCATGACTCTCTGACGGTAATCTCCTTTCTCTGCCGGAATAGTTTCTACATCGCCCGTTGGTTCATCGTTCACGGACTTTTGAGTCGCTGGCTGGATCTTCCCGCTGGCTACAGATCGAAGAAAGTTCTCCACAAACCCAGGTGTAATGGACTCGCTCTGTTCCGAGTGGTACGTGAGCCCAGTATCCTTGTTCTGGAGTGCGATGGCGGGAAACTTCCACTCCAACCCCATTCGTGATGGCACAGCAGGAAATGCTGGCGGGTCGACCGTAACGAATCTGAGACGCTGAGCGTATTTTCTGGCGGTCTCCTTGATGTGAAGAGCGAATTGCTCGCGACGATCTAGATTGAAATCGAAGAAATAGAGTACGTTGACCTCGCTCTGTAGGCACACGATCAAAATCGCATTCCTTTCATGATACACGACGGGAGATGGCCCACCTCTATGAGTTCTGCTTTGTTCCGGTGTGTCATCTCCGTAACCAATCGAGTAGCGCAGGACGCAAGAAAGTCATCCAACGAAAAGATGTGGCTGAAAAAGTCTGTTGTCGACAGTGTGACATCATCCAAGTTGTTGAAACAGTCGAGTGATGAGGGGCCATCTTCGGGGTCCCGTGAAATGACACCGAACGAGTATCTATGTGCGTTGTCGGAGGCCAGGTCATGAAATCTTTTGTAGAGACCCTTTCCTGCGTCTCGATCTGTAAGGCGAAGGATGAAAACCACAGAGTCGGTGTAAGCAAAGTCAGTGACGTTTTCCATACCCAGGCTGGAGATGACGGAGCGTAGACTGCGACTGACAAAGGCGGAGATACTGGTACGAGGGTAAGCCATCAATAAGCCATCTTTTGAAAAGTTTTGACCCACTCTTTAGCTTGCCTCGGGCCTCTGTAATATTCAAATGTCTTTGGGGAGCGGTAAAGTCTGATGGCGGGATAAGACCGTACGTCGTGTTCTTCACATACGCTCCAGTTGACGGCGCAATTTATGCTCATGGCCGATTTATCGGAGTAGGTTATAATTTCCCATTCCGTATCAAGCAGCTGGCTGCTCCAACTATGACGTTTGAGTTAATCATTAGCCTTGCACGGATAGAGATCCAAGTTGGCATTACCTGTCCGGCTGAAACAAGAGAAAGCTATCAGCTTAATACCACTTAGACATCAGAGCACCACTTACATCGACGACTACGGTATTACAGTACTATCCATCAGCAGATGTATCATTTTGTCGAGTAAGCGTAAACAGGCTGCCCAAGACTCACAGGCTACCAAAGTATGCTCACGTATCCTGAGAGCCTCATCAAGCTCCGACCTACTTGCGTGTCTCCATGCCTGCACTTCTGCAAGCAGGAGACTGCCCAGAATAAAGAGGGCTACGTGAAGCATCATAATGGAACGCCTCAGCTTCCTCTTCGCATCTCAGTTTTAAAAACAGCGAAGATGCATCAAACCAGGAAGGGAGGCGTGCAATGATAAGAGCGGACTGAGAAGAAGGGGCGTGGCCAGGTTTACCTTCAATTCGGGGATCGCGAAGGGTGTGCCGAAGCGTCTTGGCCGAAGACGTTCTTGTAAATGCCAGCGCCACGGGCGATTGTGGCCCCAGAATTTAACGGCATGTGACCTCAAAGGTAGCAGCAGCATGTGGTCGAAATCATGCGGCTAAATTGAATGGTAACGCGATGTAACATGCAGGACACCTAATTGATACTCGATGTAGAAATTTTCTGACTGACATGATCAGCTCCGTGATCATTCAGGGACAATGCGGAGAACATCTCCGAGAGCTGTCTTGGGCACCAGCACTCTGACAAAATTTTGCGGGATTCTCCAACATCATCAACGTCCATCAACAACAACAGCGTTCTTGAACGTTGCCATTTCCTAACGGTCTTCTCGCATTCAGGCCTTCTTTGGGAGTCTCATCGCTGGTCTGAGACCCCAACCGTCAAGTGTACATTAGGATGCGGTTGGCCTGGTTCGGCACACTGTATGCTGCTGCAATTACAGTTTGCCGACGCAGCGAAAACGACGATCTCAGGGACTACGTTTGCGATCATTCAGGATACGAGGTCAACCTGTTTTCTCACGCTCCTTTAGTCATCTACATCACCAATTTTGTAACACCTTTTGAGCGAGAGCATCTCAAAAAAATCACGTAAGGACTTTGGCTATCACAGATGGAAACAGAAAAATGTGCACCGCACAAGAGTGTTGCTGATGACGATTAGAAACGGGACATTCGCTCGCTCTAACGTCGCCTCAAATGGAGGGGATGTGGTTTCATCCCACCGGACCTCACAATCAACAACCGTTGTGCCTGATGCTGTTACACAATGCATTCTAGAGAGGGCACGACAGTTCCAAGGTCTCCATACGCCAGCTACTCATCTAGAGCCGATTCAGTTGGTCAAGTATGGTCTTGGGGAGCAGTATCACTTTCACACGGACTGGTTCCAAGTCGACTCGGGCGAGCACGGCTCCGTGGTAAAGGGCGGCAACCGCGTGAGCAGTTTCTTTACGTACGTGGGCGTCAGCAGCGATATTGCTGGCGGAGGAACGAATTTCCCTCGGCTTCAGTCGCCGCCGGGGAAAGGCTGGTGTAGATACGTCGACTGCGATGAGCCGTGGGATGCGGGCGTCACGTTTCGACCAGTGGAGGGCAATGCCGTGTTTTGGACAAATTTGCTCAGCGATGGCGAGGGCGATGATCGGGTTTTGTATGCAGGCCTGCCCATTGTTCGCGGACAGAAATTGGGAATGAATATCTGGACGAAACAAGGCCCTTTCAATTGAGGATTCGGCAGTCTTTAGATCCGTCAATTCGATGTCAAGTCGGAGTCAACAACCGAGCTCCCGCAATGGCCCAGGGTTCATTCGATCTCGCTGAGTTTGATGTGCTCTTTATCTGGAACTCGACGTGCCCCGGGCATCTTGGCCCTCCTGTCGGCAACCGAATTCGGCTCGGCCTGGGCCCACTTACCGCGGCTTCTATCCCGGGAGACTTCCGCACCGATGGTAGTGAGTGGGGCCGGCATCACCGACGAAAACTTAATCAACAGAGTTCTAAGCAGCTGAATGACTCTCTTTAAGGTGACATCAGCGCCCCATTCTTCTGCGCGGGCAACGAGTGACTCGTGCGAAAGCCGTAGACTCTCGGTAAACATTCGACCTGTCATCGCAGCGATACAAGCTGTTTCTCGGCAACGAATTGAGATGGACCAGCAGAGCAAGACCAAGTCGAGCGTAATAGAATCCACAGCGCTTGTAATTCCATCCTTTGGACAACAAGTTTTCTTGAACACTTATCGCTTGTTACAGCTCGTGTCGCTATGCCTTCCTGATCGGTTCTAAATCCTTAGCTCTCAAGGGTTAGTCGTAGTCGTTAAGACCGCTTATAACATCACAGAAGCAGCAATGTCCTTAACTAATCTACGTCACGAGTTTGTGCTGAGAAGATATTTGTGATGCCTCCAGCAATGGCATTTTGTCTTTATTGTTTTCGCACGGGAACCTTGCCTATCATGCGCCAGCTTCCTTGAGAGCTGCCTGCCCCTGCTTCACGATAGCATCGGTCTCGTCCGCGCTCAGACCCGGCAGCGGATTCCGCTGGCCCTTGGCGTTGAGAGACCCGGGAGCTTTCTTGTCTTTGAGATCGAGTCCGGTCACGATCTCTGCGGCCTCCGAATCCGTCAAACCCGTCGTCGGGTTGACCTTGTTGTCACCAATCGCCTCCGCGTGCGGCCCGGTGCTGGTCTTGCTTGCCGCCGCACTTCCTGTCTTCGTTTGCCTCGTCACAACCTCCAAGTCCCTCTTCTTCGCGTTTGTATCGTCGGCGGACACGACCTCCGCCTTGAGGCCACGACGGCTCAAATCGTCTGCCACTGAGGCGGGTTCGGCGCCAGTGCTTCGGTCGACAAGTTCGGTGGGCTGATGAGCCGCCAGGCCACTGAGAGCAGGCTGTTTGGAAAGACTCGTCAATAAATGATTCTGTAATTGTCACTGAAGACTAATGAGCATACCAGGGCCGATGCACTGCCCGACAAGGCAAGGACCACGATGGAAAATCGCATGTTGTTTCTCTCAACGTAAGATGTGTTTGTTGGATGAACCGAATTCTCAAAGTTGGCGCGTGCAAAAGAGTGTCGTTTTTGCAGAGAAATGGAATCGAGAAATTCGAAAGATTCAAATTGCAGAAGTGAATGTAGATGTCGACACCGAACTGCTGGTTACCAGGGGTGAAACCTTGGGACAAAGCAAAGAATGAAGCAGAAGCCGGTAGAGGTGGAGGGGTCCAAACGCGGTTGGGAACGGGTTCATTGATCTGAACTATATAGTGATTCGCATGCCATCTTAATTCCACGAGCATCAGTTGCATCCGAAGTCGAGCACGAACCAATGCCCGCGTGCATCTGGGCACCAGTATCACCTGTGTGGAGAAGGGGGTTGGAGTCTCAACACGGGACCCCTGTCGCGGATCTGGGTGCATTGGGGCGAAATGTCAGACAGAAAGGCCCAGCTTCGCGGACGAGAGGCAAGGATTATGCCGTATATCCAAAACTATGGCGAATCAACTGGCAGGCTGAGACGGCACAGGGGTCTTGGAACTCTACCCTGCAGAGCTGCTGGAAGGGGGATTTTCCAGAGAAATTCCACTTGCCGTTGGCAACGTGGGCACCCGTCGGACGTTGTCGAGACCTGGGCTCGTAAGTTTGGGTGTCCGCGTTGGGGCTAGATTCGTGTGCAGACTGTTTCGCTGGGTGACATCAAAGCGCTTTCGCGGGCTCCCTCAGGCCCTCCGTCTCCTATTTTTGCACTCTCGGGCTTTCTTTTCGGATCATTCGCAAGGCCATACCTACGAGCTGCAATCCGAAAGCATGCCCCTTTTGTGTGTGGAAGCGGATGAATGAGTGTGCGAGTGTGTGTGTTCAGGTGCGCCCGTGTCTTGAGCCGTTCAACCCGACCGAACGCTCTCTCTCATCATCCAAACATCGGCCTTCGCTTCGAGACCGAGAGGCCGCGGGCGCACCGACCATTCAGGCCAGCGAACTGGGGCAAATTTGTCATATGAGCGGAATGAAACAGCAAAGCCCGACTCGACATGCTGTGACGAACGAGGCCCGCACCAGCACAACTACAGTTTGTTAATGGATATTCCTTGGGCTGAGCAGCGCATCAACCCACAGAGTGTGCGTGTGCGCCAAGCTCGCCATAATGACAAGCCTTTTCTTTCTTTCTTCTGCCTCACCATCGTGAGGCTGTGTTTTGCGCGGAATAGGGGTTCGCCAATATCGGCTGGTGAGAATTGACCAGAAGGCAATTGTTAACTTTAAATCTAGCGTCGGCCCCGGATATGACGGAACTAGTGGCGGCATGCTGCGATAGATTGGAATCCGCCCCCATCTCCGGCTCCACTCCGGCCGCCGCCGACGGATGTGACGGCCCGGAGCCGGCTCCAGGCTTACGTGCTCTTCAGACAGGAAATGTGGCTCGGCTTCCCCAGAGAGAATTTCTTAACTCACCCGTCAACTTGGATGTAATTCTCCGTCGAACGTAGGTAGGAGATTTTGTTGCATCATGTGCGGGGATTGACAGCTAGTGTGCTTTCTTCTTTTCTGCCCTGATCCATTGAATGCTGGCTGCGGACACGGAGTAGTCCAGGTTCGATGCAGCCATAGCTCAAAAAGAAATGTCGCGAGACGAGGGAAACGCTGGGCCTCTGCGACGTCGCCGTCAAATTAGTTCGCAACCGACTCCTGATGGATTTCACCATCTATCCCTTTCCTTATGCGTTGGCCATCATCTCTGCCATTTTCTCCGGGTAAGCAGCCGGACGGTCGGCACTGGGCAATTTATATCAAACTGGGCACGGCCTATAACATCGTATCTTATCGCCGCAGGGCCCGCCGACTGGTGCCCTTCACAAGACCAGGCCGTCCGGGGTCGTGTCATTCGCCATTTAGCCAAAGTATTATTGAGCAAGTAGACATGGTTGACCACGTCTGATGCGGTCCGACCTAGCAGTGCCGTCTCGGTCACTTGATGTCGACTGAGCCTTTCCTTCAATCCTCTCGTGGACACGAGTCACTATTCGCTCCTACTACCAGTAGTGATAATTCGACCTTCGTCTGATCTGCTGAGGAGCACGGGCAAAGAATGGCTGAACTGATGGACCTCACTCGAGAAACGAACCGCAAGGATCTTGTGGGTGACTTAGCTCACATGAAGAGGGCAGGGGGCGGGTTTGCCAATGAGGCAGAATCTCGTAAAATACGAGAACGCACATCCTAAACTTCTCCGGTGGACGCTGTGCACGACTGCGAGCCGGAACGTAGCTTGCGCCTACCTCCTCACGATTTCCAGTCCTTACAAGGCGGAGGGATTCAGCGGCCGAATCAATTTCTATTTCTGAATTTGTCAAGAAGCCAACCATGTCACCGAAGCTTATTTGTCTCGGGAGGGAATGCCGAGAGTCTCAGACCATGAACGCCTGAGATGCCAAGAGGAAGCCAGCTGAATACCACTGCAAGCGGAAGTATAACGATTTTCTTGGACAACCAGCGATCTTGATACCGTGGAAGCGTCAGTGCTGATGGCAATGAGTGAATGGCGAGGCTAGCAGGCAATAGGACTTTCCTATGGTGTATTCAATTCAAATGAGCCTTTGGAGACTGGAGCGCTGGCTTTAGATACAACAGATTGACCAACCACTAGATTTGTTTCTTACCTTCATTTTACCATGAAATATTCAAAAATGGTTTCATCTACTTGTCTCCGTCGTAGCGGCGTAGCTAGATGGATCATGGCGTAGGTGGACAGCGTAGCCAGATGAGTCGCGAGCTATTTTTATAGGTACCACTCGCTCCGATCTGCGGCTAAGGAAAAGGGTTGTGGGGTAAGTAACGGCGATCACTCTTCGAGTACAATACGTAAGTGAGCACGAAGGAAAGCGGGGCGTGCTCATCACTACAAGCGTTGCCGGACGCTGCAACCGATGGCGAGCATCACGGGCGTCTTAAAACTCGTATCCGTTTGCGGCACCGATGGCGGTCCAATTCCGCCTAGTGATGTTGGCCAAGCAGCTTGAGTTCAAGAAATACGCTTAAGTTGTCAAATCATCGTTTACCTGACGTGTAATCTGGTGAACCGTGGTAAGAAAACAATTTTGTGGCGGCTGATGTGTTCGCCAAAGGATCAAATGCAGTGACATGACGCGAGACATCAACTCACCCCAAATTCATGGGAGAACAAATACGTTCATGACTAAAAACAACGAAGTAAATCAAGTATAAGTTCACATTAACCTGGGACCTTGATACCGAGAATGCCATCTTCTCTATTATACTGTCAACAACCCAGCGCATAACCTTTTCGCCATGGCTACTCTCAAGAGCGCCATCTTTTTGCTCACAGCTTTGTAAGATGTACAATTCCCTTCATCAGATCTCCAACTAACTTTCTCGAGCTTCACTCTCGTACAGGCGTTGGACGGTCTTCCCTGTCCAACTATCACAACCACTGGTTTCGTCTGTCCCACATTTCCCGTGAAGCCCTGTGCCCGACTCTCAACCATCTCCAGTCGCTGCGACTGTCCAACTGTTGTCCCAACATCAACAGTTAACTTCCCCTGCGATGGACCACATCCGACGGACTGCCAACTGACTATACACATCTTCGAAACTGCGAAGCCGGATTGTGGCGGCGTCACCCTTACCCAAGTCATCCCAACCAACCCTCCTCTCCCAACGATCTGCCCTACAGTAACCAAGACAACATCAGTCTGTAGTACCTGTATTCGACCCCTGTGCTTGGGAATCTCAACCATCTACAACTTGTGTGGCTGTCCGACCGCAGTTCCAACCACCACCGTTGGATTCCCCTGCGGTGTGGGATGTCCCGGAGGGTGCGCCGGTACTGAATACATCTACGCGTCAAACACGCCAAGCTGCAGCCCATCGGCATACATCAATTAAGTATGTAGGCATACGAATCCACCTGCAATGGGCTTCTGTTATCATCATTTGCTCACCGCCTAACAGAAAAGAAGGCATCTTCAATTCAAATAGCTTTTCAGATGGTCCAAGAACTTCTTTTTTAAATACATGAAAATTTGCATTTGTCGATCGTATCGTCCATACACAATTCAAGTTGGTTCCATTAGAGAATCTTACAAACGCATAATCCTTGACCGTCTACGAATCTTTTGCGGGACAGTCTGCGGCTCAACACTGGTGAGCGTCGGCACAACAGGTTTGATGAGACCGGTGTTCTCGTCGAAGTAAACGTGGTCAATAGTGGTCTCGCGCATGTATCCGCCACCGCCAGGAATCTGGAAGCGATGGTATGCAATGTACCAATCGTCAGTACCAGGAACGTTGAACATGGAGTTGTGGCCGGTGCCAAGGATGCCTTGAGAGGTATCCTTTTGCAGAACAACACCATGGTATTGCCAAGGACCAGAGAAGTTTTCAGACGTAGCGTATCCAACACGGTAGTTTTCGGATCCCGTGTCGTCTATCGAGTAGGTAAGGTGGTAGAGATCTTGGCGGTAAACGACGAACAAGCCCTCTCTGAAGTCCACTAGCCCCGTCATGGCTTGCAGTGTATCCCAGTTGACCGACACCATGTCATCATTGAGTTCAGCCACAAGAGGACGGCCGTTGCCCCAATAGATATAGTACTTGCCAGAGACAGGGTCCTGGAAAGCAGCTGGGTCGATCGCTTGAGAAGCAGTGATAGCTTCGTTGTTGAGAATCATTGCTTCCGGCTCAGCAGTGAATGGGCCCTCGGGCGAGTCAGACACAGCAACACCGATGGTCTTCGTGTTCAAGGCAATGTTGTTCCCACTGAAGTAGAAGTAATACTTTCCGTCGCGTTCGGCAATTGTTGGGGCCCAGGCATTGCCATTGGCCCAGGGAACGTTGCCATTAGTTCCATCGAGAACGAGGAAGGGGTCCTCGCTTCGGGTCCAGGTGACAAGATCACTCGACTTCCAGACGTAGAACTTGTTGCCACCCCAACCAGGAACACCATCTGTAGTCACGTAGAGATAGTATTCTCCGTTGAATACGGCGATGTTCGGGTCGGCATACAAACCAGGGAGAACAGGACTTCCCATCTCAACAGCCTTGATCTCCCACTCAGCCACGACCTCATCGCCCTTGGTCAAGACGTACTTGACCTCGGAAGTAAGGTCGACAGGTGTGCCGGATGCGGGAGATGAAGTCACTCCTTCTGTAGTTGTGAAAACCGGAGCCAGATTGGCGATGTCAGTACCAGGGTAAACCGGGAATAAGACCTTGTTGTCGGTGGTGTTGATGATGGGAGGGACCTTTTGGGCAGCGCTATCGGCAAGGGCAACCTCAGTGATGGCACCGACGTTTCCTGAGCGAGAAAGAACTTCAGCTGCGCTCAAAGACCTGTTGAAGATGGCAAATTCCTTGAACTGGCCCTTGAAAAGCTTGTCACTGTCGTAAAGCGACCGGCCGATGTAGTTTGCAGTCGTGACGCCGTTACCAATGTTGCTTGGATTGATGTTGACATCCTCATTTCTTGCAACCTCGTAGCCATTGAGGTAAATCACAGTTGTGCGGCCTTGCTGAGTAAAGACCAAGTGCAGCCAAGTTCCTGAAGGGAGCTGAGATCCAGAGGAAGACGTCTTCTCACCCGTCCAGTTGCCGGTGGTAATCGATGCCCTGTAGGGGTTTCCGGTGGAGAAGAGATAACCGTTTCCAGAACCAGAGACCGTGTTTCCGAGACCGTAGATAAAGTATGGCGTCTGTTGAGAAGCATCGACAAGGACCTTTGCCTCAATTGCAACGTTTGTGACGCCAGCGATGATGTTGTCAGGCAACTTGACATAGTCATCAACGCCGTCGAATGTCAGAGCACCGTCCGTGATGGTCGCTCCGCCATTGATGACTGCGTTATTGCCATTACCCGAAACGTCCTGAACTGTGGTACCGTCAACCGAAGAGAAATCATAGCGAAGGATTTCTTCATCTGCGCTGACATCTCGACGAGTTGTTGTGGTTCCCGTCAGTGCAGCAAGTTCGGATGCAGTGACGGGGATCACGGTGCCATGACGCGGGCTTGAAGGGAGATTGTAAGAGCTTGATACAGTCCAATCGGGATTGCCAATGTCGGTAGTCTCCAGGGGGATGTAACCACGGCCGCCGTATTCATCAACGAAAAGGTAGAACTTCTCGCCATGCACATCGCCTGGGTTGGATTTGAAAGAGGTCGGCCCCTCGACAGCGCTGGTTCCTGCCTTCTTTCCGATGCAAGAATCGATGATGGTCCAAGAATCCAGGGTGGCACGGAGGGATGTTGAGCTTTCTTGGATGATATCGCTGCATCCGGTGCCGCTAGCACCCTCATCCTTGGTGAAACGGTAGTAAGTGCCATCGGATTTGATGACGGTCGAGTCGATGCGCGACATACCGGCGTCTTGCCAAGTCTGCGTATCGCTGAAGGTGACGAAATCTCGAGTTGTTGCGTAGAGCATGCGGTGGTAGGTGCTACCAGTGCGGTTCAAGTCGCTGTCTTCGTACAGAGATGAGGCCCAGAAAACCAAGTATGCACCAAGATCCTCGTCATAGTAAGCCTCTGGAGCCCAGGTGTTTCCTGCTTCGGGAGGGGAGACCAGGACATGACGTTGGGCAGACCAGTTTATGAGATCATTCGACTCCCAAACTTCGAGGTATCGGCTACCGATCCTGACGGAGTCGCCCCAGGATGTACCGGAACCAATCGACAAATCAGTCGCGATCAGATAAAAGGTGTCGCCTTCATGAGATCTAATGAGGAACGGATCCCGAAGACCTTTTGTGCCGTAGGATGAAGTCAAAGTGGGTTGGCCACCGTTCAGCTCCGTCCAGTCCAAAGCGTCATTGCCCTGGCTAGCAGCAAAGAAAATATTTTCTCCGGCAATTGTACTTCCAGTGAAGTAAGAGAACGCGTATCCCTCAAAGGGGTCAAGGACAACGGCTTTGCGGACAGATGCAACGAAATCCTTCTGTTGACTCACGCCGTCATATTCGATCGTGGCGGTGAGAGCGACTTGAGCATCTTCAGTTTGCCTCTTCACAACGCCGTCATCCGAGATGATAGAAGACGCGTTGCTCGCCCAGGTAATGTTGATGCCATTGATGGCAGTTGGCAGGTACAGGTTACCACGAACATCGTCGACGTTGGTAACAGTAAGGGCCGCGAGAGCTGCCTCAACCTGTTCTGTGGCATCTTGACCCCTCACAGTCGCCGCGAACGCGAGTGCCGAGGAAAGCCAGAGGCGAAAAGAAGGCATGGTGTGGAGCGCTCTGTGTATTCCAGAAAGACGCTTAGCACATCACTCAGTATTTGTTAGGCAAATGGCCCTTAGTCTCTTTATACACAGTCGTTCGGCCCCGACTTACGCCGCCGCGGTATGTTGATCAACCACATGGCTGGTGAACATCAATATTTGTGCCCGAGAACTCGACCGGCCGTCTTGGGTAGCACCAGGCTGGGGGAGTATGCCCCTCCACGATCCAATGGATGATCATTTCCTCTTGTCGTGACGCAAGCTTCAAGCCAGGAACATGTCATTCGGAAGTCGCCATCAGGGGCCAAGCGCATCAGTAGAGGTAAAGCGTCGTGGTAACCGTTACACCGAAAGCGAACGGGAGCTTGCCGTAGTCATTCAAGCTACCCCGAACACCCTTGTTTCTCCGCACTTTGCTACCCCACAGTCTCCAAGAACCGCTCGTGATGACGAGCATCCCGGCTGTTGAGACCTGGACTGCGGGGAAGTCGCAGCCGGTTGACAGGCTAGGAAGTACGCGCCCGAGTCAGACAACGGACAACAGAGGCAATCTGCAACCCAATATCATCGAGCTTTATTTAGGGCATCGGCTCTTGTCATTCATGGACAGCCTGCGATAATGTTCGATTTCTCATAATGCATTGGCGCAATGAGGCATGGAGATACGAGCGGCTCGGTATGTTCGGCATTACGTCGTGCAAGGACCGATGCGAAGCTTAGCTACAGATCTGGCATGATCGCAACGTTGGAAATGGCCAAGCTACTGTCGCGTTCAATGCGGAGACTGTCAACGGTGTGGCCTACTTCTGCTCACGTGTAGCTATGGATTCGGGCAATAAAGCGATAGTGCGTCGTATTTTACCGGCGGGATGTCTGGTACTGGAAGTTGAAAGTGGGTTGTTGCTATTGGATGGTTTTGCGCCGGTTCATTCGTCACATCGCAGAAATGATGTGCCGAGGCAAACTCAGTACGCGCTCGAATCAAGTCGCGCGAAACCTCACCGTCAAGAGGCTGCCCCGCAAGTCGTCCGAACCCGATTCTAACTTGTTTCCACCCTGGCCATTTCTTTGATTGGTGGGTATGTCTGTTTCCTCACATGTGAAGAGAAAGTCATGTAAACATGGAGCTTGCTCCTCGACGTGCTTCGCTGATATTGCCGCACAGCCAGTGTTACTCATGCATAATCCTTAGATCAGGCCTGATTGTAACTACTGAAAAGAAAAAGGGAATGTAGATGGGGCATCAGAGGCTTCCGCCACAGTGCTTCCATGAGAGTATTCCTCCCAGCAACAGAGTGCTTGCTGCTTGCAATTCCATAAGTTTCAACTTTCTGTTTGAGCATCCTAACCTAAGATAAGCATGCGACTGGCCCGTAGGCCATTTCCTGTTATTGTAACGCGAGAGTTTAGTGCCCTCTTTGAATTTTATTTGGTATTGATGCCCAATCCGCGTCTTGAGTCCTACTCATTCATGAAATATTGAAATGATTCTGTGTCTGAGTAATCACTTAGGTTGGAGCTGAGTCCTGGACAGGCATGGGAAGCTACATTGAGGGGGTGGGCGGTATTCCGATCACCCAATCGACTGCTCCAATACGTCGAATGACTCGTATTGTTGGACGAGTGCAAATCAGGAAGACTAGGCTTGATACGGGATTGAGACCTCATATTCTAAGGCTGGTGTTTAGAAACCCACAGAAAACCACTCGACATACCTTTTCATCCTTTGTTCTGTCTGGAAATCGATGCGAACAGTGTTTTGAACTTTCGATTTTAGAAGAAAGGATGAGATTTTAAAATGCAGATAACTGCAGTGTTCGAAATTCGGGCTTTACATTATATTTTGTGGAAAATCAAACATCTGCAGACAGGTCCCGATCAATCACATCCACCACCACCATCACCACCATCGCACCCACCAGAATCACAGCCGCCGCCCCCAGTGTCACAATCGCCTCCAAATCCACCGTCATAGCCGCCGCCCCCAGTGTCGCAATCATCTCCAAATCCACCGTCATGACCGCCACTTAACATGTTGCCAAAGTTGTAAGGACCGTGGTGTGGGATTCCAGTGATAGAGGCAAATATAGCTGCGTTGATGGCGTCAGAATGGTAGTTGGAGCCACTGTCGGGGTATCTTGTGGGTGACACTGTCCTTGTCTTCGCCTTCTCTTTCTTCCTTCGATTGTCGAGTTCAGACTTGCTTCGCTTGGAGTCATTCTTCTCTTGGCTTTCGTGGTCGTTGTTGTGGTCGTTCGTTACTGAGCTTTTGCATTTGGACTTGGTGAATATATTTCTGCGACGAACCCTTCTCTCTGTTTTGACTTGCTGCATTTGCGAAGTTTGCTCGTCGGTCTCAAGAGTTTTGGCCAAGTCCGAATCGCTTTTGCTTTCCTTCTTGACTTGACTTCCGGCAGCCAACATATCCTTTTCTCCATCGGCATTGATGCTCGATCTCTTAGCGTTGCAAGAGAATTTTGCCTTGAGGCGGCTGTAAAATGCAGAAGCGCGGCTTTGGGACGGTCTCGATTCTTCGTTGCGCATCATTGAAGAAATTTCAATTCTTTTACGTGTTTTGCGACTCGGTGGGATTTGTGAAGTTGGGCATGGGAAAATTCTGATGACGAAGTTAAAGCTTTCACTTGTGAAAAACATGTCAGTCCGTATTACTAATATCCTGATTTCAGCTAGACCGTAAAATCTCCCGTGGATTTCGCGCCCTCAAGGTAGATACCGTTGGTCATTGCGTCGACATGCACGGAAGAGCCATATATGTCAATATCTTGATTGAATGACGGCATTCTTTAGTATTTAAACTAGGCTTTGATGAATGAAAAGTGGCTTCTCACGTGTAACTCACCACATGACCATCAAGTTCGAACTTAACCTGCATGTAAACCAACCAGCGGCAGGCGAAAGTCCACAGATATGGTCCTCAAACTCTACCTGTACTGAGCTACATCAATACTTCCAATGAACATAAAATAAAGGCTTGCTGCACATCAACATGGGAAAAGACGATCATCATCATTCTTGGAAAAAGGCTGTATACGTCACTGATCGCCGGGTGAAGGCGATCATCTTGAGATCTGTATGTACAAGAAACAAACTGCTGACAGGAAAGTCTGCCATATAGAAGGAAGGAAACGAGGGCGTGTAACAACTTCTTTCCCAGGAAGGAAAGGCCGGGTTTGACTTTGCTGGAGGGAAGGGGGGTATGATGTCGGACAGCACAAGCGAGTCTTAACCAGAGCAAACACCCGACTTGGTAGGCTCGCAGCCACCGGCACAGCCGTTGTACATCTGACACTTGACCTTTGCGTCTGTGCAGACGTTCTTGAGGGTGGCGGTGTCGCCATAGTTCGAGTTGATGCCGACAATCTCGCCGCCGTTGTACGCGGTGGTTCCCCTACTGATTGTTAGGCTTCATATCATTGCAAAACAGGAAAAGGGAGATTGACTCGACATAGACATTGCGCTTGCACTGTGTGCTACACTGTTCATTTAAATATATATCGTGAGTTCGGGTTGTGGTGTTGATCGGATCGATGGTGTTGACTTACGTTTCCGCAAGAGCGGTACAACTTGCCATATGTGTTGGCGTAGAAGTTAATGATCTACCATGTATTTTAGCGCCAAAATAAAGGTCATCAGGGTCCTTAAGAACTTACGTTCACAGTGCCACAGCCGTTGTGCTGGACAATCTTGTCCGAAGCCTTGTAGGCGCCACCGCCGATTATCCAAGTATGGTCGCCGCTCTTGTCATTCTTCTGCATTTGGTGTCAAAACTTCATTCTCATCTAATACAACATAAACATGCGAGTGACACTTACGACAGTGATGGCGTCTTCGCAGACATCCTCGAACCAAACAAACTCGAGGGTGCAGGGTCCGTCACAGTGCACACCTTCAGCCTGGTTCTTTCCAATGATGACGTTCTTCAAGGTTGCGCCTCTGCGGAGCAGAAAAACGGCATCGGCGTCACCTGCAGACATTTGTGAGAAACGCTATTGATGGCTGTACGGGGAGTTTCTCACCTCCTTCGGCCTGATCGTTGCAGGCACCCGAGCCACGGTCATACTTAGCCCAGCCACCATCGAATGTGGCACCAGCTGCCACCTCGATGACTTTGCTGTTGGTCTTGGTGCTAGTAGGAGTGGGAAGACCACCCTCGTAGCCGAGACAAGCCAGAGTGGACGGCAAAGCCGCCAGCAGAGCCACGACACCTGCCTTTGAGAAGTACATGATTGCTTGTGTATGTCTTTGATGCAGAAGTCGAGTCAAATTGGAATCAAAGTCCGTGGTGGTGAGTTACGATCCAACAGAAGTGATTCTTCCGGAGCCGTTATATAGACAAGCGCAGGAGACTTGATCTCTGAACAGTTTCTGACCATGAAAACAAGCTGGTGTTTCATGCGTCGATCATTGGTGGACTAAACCCGAAGGAACGCAACTGTGAGAAACTCGTGAGAAATGGATTGCGGTTTTCCGGATCCTACGCTGATGAATAACAACCAAGATGTTGAACAGCCGGCCCAATGAGATGAATCGTCGCTCAAGGAACCGCCGTGATGTGACAGGCAAGCTGGCTGGAAGATAGAGATACCAAAGGAACAGCCATGAAAGAGACAGGCGTCGGGCAACGATCCTACTCTGAGGTCTAGTCACCGCCAACTGAACTTGTTCTGTTTTCTGTCCCTGCATTGGAAGTAAGATGCCAAGATCTAATTGGAAATCAACCATGGCAGTTGGAAAGAGGTCACATTATCTGATTGATAGTGCCAAGAACGACCATGTGGACGGAGAAATTCTCCAACAATGGGCGCCCCGGTCCGGTTCCCGGCCCCGCAGGTTTCCCCCAGTAATATTTCCCAGGAGTTGTCCGTCCCGCCACCGAAACTGGGGCCGTATCGCGGACTGCCACCACAAGCTGCCGGGGTGCTATCAACCCCGCCATTCAAGCAATTTTAAGCACATTTAAGCACCAGTCGATCATGAGATAGTCGGAAATAAGCAGGGATGTATTCGCGTGGACTGCCTTAATTGTCGAGTGGCGCCCGAACACATGCATCCACTGCACCCAGCATGATGCAGTATCATCTGCAAGGGCTGAGTCGTGGCTCTCGTTCCCATACCTACATACAGGACCTGGTTCCTAAATTCCGCAGTATGTCTCGCACAGGTTTCCCGCGGTTAACGCGATAGCGTTGGTTAAAACTTCTGCGTTTGAACTTCGTCGTGGCAGAAGCGCTGTCCCATCTTTGCGGTGGTCGACGTGCCTGCTCAAATTGAAGTTCTCATTGCCTCTTGCAAAGATTTCATACTTTCAGAACACTATACACATACAGGCGAGCGATAATTATACCATGTCGTACAAAGCTTGGAGCAACGACAGTCGCAGCAAGCCAGTAAGCCTGAGGGCATCCTTCACTCATGAAGAAGTAATCTATGCATGGGCCAACGTTGATTAACAAGTAGCATTCAACATTCTAAAAGCCACGACAATGTACTACAGCCCAACTTGGGGGCCATTTGAAGGTGATTGGTTGTTTCACGGTTCACATAGAATCCATCATCCATTGAACAGCAATGTGCTACGCAAGTATGGTGTTTGAGTCAATTTAAAGGCACAACCCGACTACGTGGGGGCCTACAGGCATACCATGAATTCGCCAGATAGTCATTTGGCATTCACAGTCAGTCTGAGAAAATGCTGCGCCAGAGGTAGGCCACGAAGTATGCAATGCAGTGTTACTATAAAAGAACCTCGCAACTCATATACAGCGTGAATCAACGTGTACAATGATTATGCGCCCAAAAGGTCAAGAGCACACCCGCAGATTAGCTCGAGACTTTCGATCCTCTCGAGGTACGGTTCAATTCATCCATGAATCAGGTCCAACGCCTGCCACACAAGATGACCAAGGACCAGGAGGAGGTAAGATTTGCATTAAATCCAAGACAACGTCGCATTACTCACGTCTCACTTCTGACAGTGAAGTACACCCAGCTTTCAAATGCTGATTGCTAGTCTCAAGGGATCCCTGTTGCGCCTACAAGTTGGCTCCTTAGGGGGCTCTGTAATAAAATATTTCAACGAATAATATGAAATTTAACTTGCATGAATTCAAAGAAAAATCTCGGTAAAATCCAGTGATATTGCTAGCTACCGGTATGTCTTGGTGGTGCCAAAGCCCCTTCTCGCCTAATTGACCTTAGGCTTCTCGTTCGCCACCTTGTACAGCCTCTCAATCTCTGTCCTTGCTCCACCCCACCTCTTCCTCTTGCCGTCAAAAACACGGTAGATGTGCGGGCTGTAGACGCCGCCCATGAGAATGCTGCAGAATCGGGGCTCCTGGAACCAGAACTTCCACCCCTTCCACCCCCAGCCCAGGTACTCATTCACGCCTGTGCCGGCCGTCTGGTCAGCCCAGTCCGCCCACTGGTACGGGTTGACCGTCTGCGGCAGGACGCTGCCCTCTCTAGCCAGTTCTACCATCCAGGCGTGGTGCTTATCGACCGCCTGCTCCATCTCCTCCTGAGGGGGCAGGGCCGACCTGCCCTTCCACACCTGCGTCACCGCCATCGAAGATAGGTCATTTATCTGGAACTGGCCCATAGTGAGCGCCACAGCACCCTGGAAGGCCAGAGAATGTGGGTGGCTTAGCGAAAAGACGCCTTGATACAGTCTCGGCAGCGGCTTGCCCCTCGAACCTCTAGCGGCGGCCCAATCTGGCGTGGTCTCGCGCGTCGGGTCATACTCGGGGTCCAGAAGACTAAAGTCGGACATGTAGCCAGTGCAGTAGATGATCGTGTCTACCTTGATGACTTTGCCGTCGGTGAGCTCGACCTTGTTGGGCCCAACGACCCCGCTGACGCCTTCAACGGACCGGACAGCGCCGCTCTCTAAGGAATCGATAAGATTGTCCGTGATGAGGGGCAGGTACTTTTTGAGGGAGGGCGCGGGGGACAGCTTCCATTCGGGTCGGATGTTGAAAGCCTCGTCCTGGAGTCTCTTGCCGAAGTTGTTGAAAAGCTTCTCGACTAGACTGGGAAAGAAACGCTCGAAGACGCGCTGCCAGGTGACGTAACGGACGTTGATGGTATGATCGATGGGTTTGCCCTCTTTTACGCGGGGCAACTCCACGATGTCAGACAATACTGACTGGGGTGTGGACCGAGGGGCAACTTACAACTAGGCATCCATGTCTATGTGATAGATAGATGTTGTTGGCGTATCCGGCGAAAGATGTCGCTGTGTCTGCCCCGCTGTTGCCCAGGCCGATGATCAAGACATCCTTACCCTTGAATCCCTCGGGGCTCAAAGATACTTCAGTACGGGCAACTCCAAGCTTGGAAATGGGTCGTCGGCGTCACAAACTTACCTTTTGAACGACTTAGCGTGAAGCTTTTCGCCTTGGAATAGATCAATTCCCTTAATGTCAGGATATTTCGGCGTATGATTTTGACCCGTCGCCATGATCACTCTGTCAAACATCTCGTCGGGGGCCCCATCTATCTTAATCACCCATTTATTGGCGCTTTCATCATGGTACACACGAGTGATGCTTATGCTGAGGCGCATCGAAGGGCGCAGGTTGAAGTGCTCCACGTAGCTGGCAAGGTACCTCTGCATATCGCCGGCGGAGCAAAGGCTTGGAACTTCTACCGCCACTGAGTCTAGGCCACGGATAATGATGGAAAGATGTTTGTCTCCTCACCTGCTGGGAAGGGAAAGTCTGTGAAGCATCCCTGGTGCAGATCGTCAGCATGACCATTTGGTCACGTGGGCAGGTAGCAGACTCACCCTTTCCTTTGAGATGTTAACGACGGTTGCTATCGCACGTTATCAATCTCATTTCTGTCAGAGAAGGAGCAGTTCATGTTACTTGGGAGCGCAGAGACTCGGTCTTCTGGCGTATACGTCCAGAGCCCCCCCGGATAAGGGATGCGGTCAAACCCCGTTGCCTCGAACCCCTCTTCTAGGCAGTTCTTGAGGGCGACGAGACCAAGCGCCCCTGTGCTTGTCAGCATGCTCAAGGGACTAAGGGTATCCTGTGCCCTTCAAACCAAAACTCACCTAGGCCGACTATCGCAACCTTTTTACCTTCCGTCATGGTGATACAGTCCCAGTAGTCTTCAGTGTAACGGTTGTCAATGTAACAAAACGAGACGGGAAGAAGCCAGAGACCGACGACGAGTTTTATCTACATAAGGTAGCAACGGATTGACGAAACGCGGGCATCAAGAGAACGGGATGCTCGTCTAGCCCAAGCTTCGGGATCGCCGTTGCCTTATCTTACTGTGTCACACAGGGAGAGGCCACTAAAGCAGACTGACACAGGAATAGTCGAATCAGGAAGTCCGTAAGCCGTAATCCTACTGATAGGATTCAAATCCATGAGTATCGATTGATGTAGGCCTTCTGTTAATGAGCTGTTAGTGGCCACGTCAGAATCCTTTTTGAATTGGCTGGCAGCAACGAGCTTCGAGGTTAAAGTAAATAGCCGTTCTCCACGTAGATTGGTACATTTTATAGCCTACCCATAAAGGACCGGTGACAATACAGGTAGGATTTCCTTTTGTAGCTGACGCGCTGAGACGCTAGGATGACTAGAAAAGGCTGCATGGATTATCAGGCGCGCGGATGGCCAGGTTCGTCATGTTGTCACATGTGTCAGCTCATGTGACATCTAACAATCCATGGACGATCGACCGAATGTCGTGTTCCCAAAATATTTGCCCACTTAAGCATCAAATAAGTGAATTGCATACCCCACAGAAAGCATTTCGGCCTTCGTCGTCCGCCTCCTTGACATTTCCGGTGCTGATCACATATCAACTGAAGCAGAATTCTGAAGACGATGTCATGACCTCAATCTTCTGAAAACTTGTGCGCGCTGCTGTCAGCGTTGACATTGGGATATGAACCGGAATAATGGCGGAAGATCATTAGTAAGCCCCAGGCGCTTACTCTGGCAACCACTCTATTCAAAATTCAATCACGCCTTGAAGGCTACCAAACAACGCAATGACGAACTAGCTAAGACTTTGGCGGCAGAGTTGTTGATGGAGCACCGCCTCAGCGTGTTCCATCTGGCTGTCATGCATCTGACCCTAGCTGAGAGCACTGCCAACATCGTCGCGCATGCCCAAGAGGCTGCCAATCTCGACAACGAGGTTCGTCAGCAGCCCTTTCTCACGGATGTCGATTGGGTCATCATTGACCGCCAGGATGAGAGATCAGAGCTCGCTTTGATCGAAGTGCGCCGTGACAAGTTTGCTCGCCGAAGCGAGGTTGACGAATATCTGTGAACACCACCCACCCAGAAACGAACTCTCGCCTTGACAAGGTGACTTGGCATATTAAGCCATAATGAACGTCTGCATCAATGCCAGTTCCGAGGTATAGAACGTCCAGATCGAGGCCATGATAGACCGTTCTGGCAGCATCCCCAGCTACGATGTTTTGCGCGAAAGCCGTCAGACCCTTAGTAGCTTTTTTGCCAAACGCGTCGCGGAGCAGCTTCAGAATCCATATGTTGCGGACTCGATCGCGAAGCCTAGGCGGAACTGTTTCCAGTATGCGCACGTATTCGGCCATGATCTGACCCCGCTCCTCTTCGGTGAATCGTCGCACTCCGATAGGGTTTGCTGGCATGGCTGAGGCCATTTCCCACATCTGCGAAGAGTTGATGCCTTTGCCAGTAACTTCGTTGTCGTCCTCCTCGTCCTCCCCCTCCTGCCTCGGTTTCTCCGTTGGGTTGACTGTGCGTGTTCTGTTTGCCCCATCGTTCGTCTGCTGGAAGGCATACCGGGCGAGATCTGTGGTGGTTGTGGAGGTGTTGTGGCCAGCGTTGGAAAACTCAGCGACAATGAAGGTGCGTTTCCCCCATTTGGTTCTAAGGATTCCTTCGAATTGCTTGGTTGAGTCTTGAGCTTCTTGTTGGCTTTGGCAGCAGCGGGGGGTTTGTCAAGACGAGGCTTCTCGCCTTTGTTAGGCTTGACATCGTCGGCAACACGGCTGCCTGCGTTTCCTATGGCAGCGATGCTGTTGCTCGAAACTTGGCTGGAATCTTATCTCTGGTCAGCGGATTTCTTTTTTTTCCTTTTGGAAGTTCGTCTTTGTTCTTACCTGCTTTGTGTATCGCTAGACTAACAGGAAGATCGGCTTCGAGATCTCAGTAATACGGCTCTGTCTGGTGGAATGTCTTGGATAGGCTGCTCAGTTGCGACGTCCACGTGTTATCTAGAAAGAAAGATTGCGAGAGGTCGAGGAAGAAGAGGAAGCTTTTTATAGTCGATACGAGTGAGGTGAAATCCAGAACGTGGGGATCGCCTCGACGCGCGCGGCAGGTGCGCACCACAAACACTTGGAAAGGCAGGATCTCCAAATCATTCTGAAGAAGAAGGAGCACCCTTTGGCAGGCACCGGTTATCTCAAATCGTTGTTCAGCTCTTCTCCTCAATCTCTTCTTTAATCTAGGAGATCAAGGCTTTGGGTGTTTTGGAGGGAAGCCGTGAACCTCAGCCTCCTCAATGATCCTTTCCTTCATTTCTCATTAGTTACTTGTTTGAAGCGAATGTCGAATGATTACTGCAAACTGGAAGAGATGATAGCATTTTCTTTAGTTATTGACATGTATTGCGGCTCCCTACCAGGCTTGTGTTAAGTAGGCCAAGACTGGGCACTCACAACAAGCCCACGCCTGGCGTTTGAAGAATTATTCGACGAGAAGTGAAATCCATCAGACAAGACCATTCAAACTCACACACCTTGAATGGTCTGTTGCATGTGACTGGAGCTGGATGTGAAGTCGCCCTGCCAACGCTCCATATGCACACTCAAGTCACCAAGGGCCAAAATGCGTTTGCCAAAGTCAATGCTCGACAGCCAACTTCAACGTCGGAAGCCATAGCATACGATTTTCTCATACTTGTAATTCGCTATGAGTTTTCTTTTCATATTGGATGGCATTATCGCATACTTACATTCTCCGAGCTGCCATGCCACCAATGATGCGATCTGCATCTCAGGGTGAATGATTTTGGAGACCGATACTTATGTGGTCTTTTATGATCGGAATTGAGAGAAGGGACCCTAGGTCTGTCTTGGCAGTGACAGCTGACGTTGAAGTTTCCATGCTATTGGTAAGGCCATGTGCGATTCAGTCTCGGACAACTTGAAACAGGGGCCTGAAGTTTACTACCGCGCCAACAGCGGCCAGAACCTCATGTCACGTTGGTATCCCGTTTCCCAACCTGTCAGACTCGGTTTAAACGGCATTGTCGTCGGGGAGTTTGGGCCATCTAGTGTCACCAACCGCAGCTGCCTGCTGGTCGTTAACACAGCTTTCTAAGCCAGTTTCGGTCATGCCCGCACGATTGCATTCGATGACTACAGATAGCTGTGCCGACTTCAGCCACAGAGGCTGCCATCGAATCTATTTGGAACAGATGACTGTGCCTCATATAGTGGGGGCCGCGTCACATACAACACCACAGTGCTCTCAGGAATAGCAGCTGTCTGCCTTACACTGATTAAACGACCGTATGGCTGCGGCAAGTGGGTTGGTATTGAAACGCAAGGGCGGTTATGCCCGAAAACAAAGACTGTGATCTCTGCTGTGCTGCTGAGATTTGCAAGTTCCAAGCCATTTGCACACGATGCATTTGACATTTGCTCCTCCAACGCCACCATTGATTCTCTCGTAAAATCTTGTCCAATTCTTTGTGTGATGATCTCATGAGATACGGCCCCGAGGCGATAGCAGCGACAAATGGCTGTTGAAGAGGATCGCGGCTCGATCAGATCAGCCGAGGGTGAGCCTCAATACCCGCCTCCGGTGTCCGTGGAGAAACGGAAATCAGATTCCTCCTGGGGTGATGTACCACAGACCGCAAGAACCTCAGGGTTCTCGTGGTTTAGACTAAGTGCAAATGGGCCTCCAGGGCCCGTCGACGAGCTGAGCCTTTACATGGGCGCTGCATTCAGCAGCATACCCGACGATGACGAATCACAACGATCGCCTTATTTTTCGACATGGGCGAGCGATGCCTCTAGCGTGACGGGGGGAGAGAAGAGAAACTCGGCCTCACAAAAGTTCGTAGTGGACTGGAACAAGCCGTACGATCCGGAGAATCCGATGAACTGGGCTATGGTGTCAAGGTGGATTCAGATTGTGCTTGTGAGCATCTTGACGCTACAAGCGTGAGTAATGCAACCGACTATCTTCTTTGGAAATATCTTATCCTGATTACATCCCAGAGCGGTCGCGTCGTCGATGCCTGCCCCTGCCGTCCGAGAGATTTTGAAGGACTTCAACGCGCCTGATGGTGTGCTATCCTCGCTCGTTGTCTCAATCTTCAATCTGGGCTTCGTCTTCGGTCCCGTGTAAGTGTATTCCACAAGTACACGAACTGCCCCGGCCCCGCGGCATCTGCTAACGACGCATAGACTAGCAGCGCCCATGTCGGAGCTCTACGGACGATATCCAGCGTACAGCATCTCGAACGTGCTCTTTCTCGCCTGCAATGCCGCCTGTGCCGTCTCGCCAAATCTCGGGGTTCTGCTGGTATTCCGCTTCTTGAGCGGATGTGCCGGTGCAGCCCCGCTGTCCATCGGGGGCGGCACGATCGCGGACGTCGCACCTCCAGCGCTGAGGGGCAGAGCGGTGTCGGTATACTCTCTCGCGCCGCTCCTCGGACCAGTTCTGGGGCCTGCGGCGGGCGGCTTCTTGGCGGAGTATGCTGGCTGGCGATGGATCTTTTGGGCGCTGTGCATCATGGTAGGTTGGCACGAGCTGTCTGTACAACAGGCAAAAGACAACGTCACTGACGAAGGCTTCGTATCACAGGCCGGTGCTGTTGGACTCGCAATGCTTCTGATTCTGAGGGAAACCTCTGCAAAAGCTCTGCTCGAGAAACGAGCGCAAAAGACGAGAAAGCGTGCGGGAAATCCCAGATACACTTCGGTTCTAGACGACGGCGTCTCGCCCCAAAAGGCCTTCTCTCGGGCCATCAAACGACCGCTGAGGCTCTTGATACTTCATCCCATTGTGTTCTCTTTGTCTGCATACTTTGCAGTCATATACGGATATTTGGTACTACAGCCGCCTTCCTCGTCTCAAATTTAGCTGACAATCCTTTGCAAGTACCTCTTTTTCACGACGGTAGCAATGGTCTTCACTGAGAAGTACGGTTTCTCCGCAGGCTCTTCCGGCCTCACCTTCATAGGTGTCGGGATCGGTACAGTGACCGGCACCCTTATTGTCTCTGTCTGGGGGGATAAAGTAGCTACATCACTATCTCAGAAGCATGCCGCCCGAAGACCGGAGTTTCGCCTTCCTTTGATGGCGTATGCTGTGCCGGTGATACCAGCAGGGCTTCTGCTGTACGGTTGGACGGCAGAAAAGGGGGTGTTTTGGCTGGTGCCGATGATTGGAACTTTTATTGTTGGGGTCGGGATCTTGTTTGTGTTTGGCCCGTTGGCCTCGTATCTGGTTGATGCATTTACTACGCACGCTGCGTCAGCTCTCGCCGCTTCGACAATTTTTAGGAGCATTTTTGGGGCCTTTCTTCCTCTCGCAGGACCCCCGTTATACGACGCTCTGGGTTTGGGGTGGGGGAATACGATTCTTGCTGCTTTTGCTTTGCTTATGGCTCCGATACCCTGGGTGATTATGAAAAAAGGGGAGCTCATCAGGGGCAAATATGCCCACCGTGTTTACTAGACCATGTTTGCTCAGCATTTTAGACTGTGCGTCATAGAAAAATCAATAGATTCCTTCATGAATAGCGGGATTCAAAGGAAATGGGGTGATTGTGGCAGCTGGATCGACAGATCTTCTTTCCCATCTGAATGGAAGTGTCTGCCATGCAGTAGACAGAGCGCCAGATACGATAGAATTATTTGGCAACACAGGCAAATACCCGGTCACGAAAGCCAGGATCTTGTATCTACCTTGGACGACCGTAAGTAAATTTGAATAGCTTATAATTTCTCTCCAGCTGTGATGTCTAGTAGAGAGTCTCTTTGTAGAGAAGCCCCGAGTCCTTGAGTGACTTGTCAAGATTCACAAGGTGCTATGCACTGCGTGAAGATGAATACATGAGCTCTTTGTACAACTGCAAGTATTAGCAAGATGTTACTGAGTCTAATAGCCCTCTAGCTTCAACGTCAACTTCAGATTGCGGGGATTATGGTCCGGACAACAGAACCAGCAGTCTCCAGAGATACAAAGCCCATCGGCGTTGCCTCCACCCACTGCCCCCTCCTTACCAGTGGATTAAGTATTTCCTAATCGACAGGTCATCTTTGGACACATTTGTCCTCGCCAGCCTTCACCAGTTGACAAGACCTGCCACCGACCAGGGGCTTCTCGTCTCATGAGCGAAGCACAACAACACCAACACGAAGAAGGTGAGGAGATCGTAGAGGATCCGGCTGCCTCCTCATCAAGCCCTTGGAGCAGCTGCCGAGCACATTCTCACCCTCCCCCTCAAAGCTTTGTTGAGAATCTGTCGCAGACCAATAAGTTCTTCCTCCAGTAGCGCTGCTCTACAGGATTCATCCGCATCCTCTCGTCATGCTGGTTGCCGTCGTGGGAAACCATCGCGAGTCGCACCCCATGAAAACACGACCTCACCAGCCTCTTTTCCTCGCACCCGAGGAGACGCACATCGTAAAACAAGTCATCAGGGGGTGGGCAAGTCCACATCGAACGACACCTAGCTGAAACTGTGCGACCTCCCGAGAATATTCAAGTCCAGCTGACCAAAACACAAACAAGCGTCGTGACAAATCAGAGAGCTGCATCTCGACAGTGCCGGTGTAATGCCCAGTCCCGACTGGACCTTCATGGCATATTTGTACTTACGGGCTAGCTCTCTCGATAGACTAGCGGGCCACACTGGATTATATCGGGAATAGTCGCCCCGGCAGTTCCCTTGGCCTCGCCTGCAAGCTGTTGGAAAACCAAGGTTGAGGATAGTCCGGCATACTCGAGATGGCAGCAGACGGCAGGCAGGCAAAGCAAAAAGACATACAGGCTTATCTGCGATAATACGAAGCGGCAGCGGCTCCCCAGCCCCGAGCAGACGCAGACGCGTCTCCGCACACCATACGTAGAAAAGCACATAGCTTCTGAGACATCCATCCACACCGCTTGGCCGTAGGTCTGAGTCACATGGCAAGTCACAACCCCCCTCCCTCCCTCCTCCCCCTCGAGCTTGCTACGCAGACGGGCGTACCGTCCGTGACCGCCTAGCCGCTGCCAAGAGGAAGTTCCGTCTGGATCCCAGGGCTTTGGATTGTGGCTTGATCTGGGTATTGGGCAGCTAGCGCCGTGATTGGGCGGCGCCGAACGATTTCTTGCATGAAACAAAAAACAGGCTTTACAAAAGAGACAACCCTCACAACGACGACCTTCGGGACTGAGTGGCTGATGAGCGCCACATCCCGTGCCCAACTCCCACCGTCAGCCACGAATGGATACCAGCATATCAATATATCGGTTTGATATGAGGTCAAGATGACGGGAACAAATGCTCCTGGAGTTGGGGGCGTGACCGGGACTTGCCTCAGCATGGCACGGCCTCGAGTGGCCCCGGAGGCTCGCGCCGTGCGGTGGTCAACAGTTCCTCCGTCCTTCATCAGCAGACCAGACAGGCCCCATCAAGGCTGGCAAGAAAAGAAAAAAAGGGCCCAGTCACCCTTGACTTCAAGGTTCGTCAAAGGGACTTCCCCGATTCCCTAGGCTGGCGCAGCCGTGCGGGAATGTCACCGTTCCGCTACAACCAGAGTGGAGATGTGTCTGAAGGTTTTGGGGCGGACAGCTTTCGTATCACGACGGGACGCAGCTACGCGGGCGACGACGCGTCGCGAGGGCAAGATCCGAGACTACCGGCGTGCTTCCAAGAGGAGAGAGAACACATCGTGGTATGCCAGCCAGGCCACAAGAAGGCGGAGTGGGACGCGCCGGCAAGGATGGGTGGGTGGGGATCATGGGGTTCGAGGGTGATGCGCTCTCTAGATATCTAGACCAAGACGATCTCGCAGAAGAGGGTGTGGGAGATGGAGCTTGCCAATAGAGATGGTGTTGCGACTAGCAGCTGGTTCCCTGTTTGGAGGACACCCTGTCGACGGCAGCCCACGGCAGGGTCAGTGCCACCGCAGAGACTTGGCTGGACGTCGGTTCGGGATTTCTGTTAAGCATAAGACAACAGCAGGGTGTCTCTATTCGCTCAGAGCGAGGGAGTCGGAAGTCGGAATGGCAGTTGTGGATGACAAGGGGCCCCCCAGGTGATCAATTGCGGAGGATTACAGCAAACGCAGAGGAGCAGAAGCGCGAGACCTTCAGATGGACAAGAAGAAATACAGCCAGTAGCATCCATGCCATGTGTAAGCTGGCTTGGTGTTCGACTCGACCCAGAGATGAACCGACCGACTAGGTCTGACATGGCGCCGTCGTAGGGCTACGCTTCAAACTAGTCCGGTGGCTGGACGTGGCTTGTGCCGTCAGCATGGCAAGAATATGGGGTACCGGCGCGAAGAGCAGCCCGGGATCTTCGCGAGCAGACTTGTGGCGAGGCCTCGAGCTTAGCTAAGGGGCAAGTCATGCGGCAGTGATTAGTGGAGGGACAAGGGGAAGGAGGACAATACGAGAAGCGTTGGTTGTGATATCCTGTTTGGATGAGAGAAGATCGAGAGTGTGGGGTGCTGGGAGAGGACGAAGAGCGTGATGGTGTGGAGGATCGGGAAGGGTGAGCGGAGGCTAGTCGTGATTTGTCTGACATGTTCCCCATGCGGCCGCTCTGGTGACCGCCATTCAATACCGAATAGTCAAAGATGGAGAATGCAGGCGCCGTGAATCCGAGAAAGCGTTTCGTTAACTTCAGACCTGGGCCACAGATTCCCGCTGGGGAGGAATCGAATCACATCCGAGAGCCAAAAGACGGACGAAAGAATAGGACATGTCGTGCTTGTGGCATCGGGATGTACCATCGGGAGGGCGGGCTGCGAACTGCTGCGAGTGACACCGGCCGCATACATAGCCGTCCGTCCTTGTACATGAGATATGGGCGGCCGACCACTAGGAGACGGGACGACCTCGAAGTCGTCGAGCGCACGGAGCCACTTGACGCGACGCCACACGGCTTAGGCAGGGCGACGACGACGACGACGACGACCGTTTGCTGTGGTCGAGGGGGAACGCTGAGGGCTGGTAGACCCAAACGGGCGTGGGCCATCTCGAAGATGGAGGGGACGGAGACGACGGAAGACTGGAGAGGAGCGTCCTTGTTTGCTAAAGGAGGGGTCGTCTTGGAGGGTGGGGGTTGGCCGTGGATGAGTCCTGGGAGGATATTGAAAGCAAACGGCGGGGAGGCTGAGGGAGGATCGGCGTAGGGAATGGAAACCCTTGCACCCTTGCTGCGCTGAGCGAGCGTGAGTCTTGCGTCTCGAGTGCATGGCGAGGTCTGGAGGCGGCGTGGACTAGGGCGAAAGGGGACCTGCTGGTCCAGACCAGGACGAGGGTGGCTTGATCGGGGAATGTCGATGCAGAGCAGGCGGCTTTGCTGGTGGTGTCGAGCGAGAACTTGGCGTGGTTGAAAATGGACGACACGGAGCGCAGAGCGGTGAGCATGGCAAATGATGGGCTGGATGGAGGAGGGGACGGCGCGTGGTTGAAGGTGCCTCTGTGGGCGTGTTGTTGGTGATCCATGATTCATGATGCAGAATATTGCGACTGATTTGGAATACGGGCGTGGATGGTGTTGCGAGAAACTGGAAGACTGTCCGTCAGGCTGGGGATGTCCTGTCGATTCGAGGGCGTCTGGAAGCTTGGTCTGAACACAGACAAGGTAGGCAGACAGGCAGACAGATGTGAGGTGAGCCAAGCTGTCAGTCGGTTTGAACAGATGGAACATGAATTTCTGGCGCAGACGCGAGATGCGCCTCTGCGGTTGTCAGTCGGCGGGCCGCCCCACAAGTCAGTCTCCAAACGGTATGTCATGGTTCAGATGAGTTTCCATCGGAAGAAGAGGGCGTCGACGTTTTGCCCAGGATGTTTCACTCGGGGGCGTCAAGCCGCACGGGGGGAGGGGTGGGCATGGGCATGAGCACGCCGCTGCGCAGCAGTTGGGGTCAAGATGGGAAAAAGACAAGCGGATGGGGTTTTGTTGCAGGGATCAGCACGTAATGTAATCAATCAAGCAATCAGTGGTGCGGTGCAGGCAGCGCGATGTGATGCCGTGATGCGATGCGGGCCGCGCGCAGTGGAAGCGGGCGTGACTGTATGTATGTATCGTGGTTTAATGGCGACAACGACGGCGACGAGGAGGATGAGGAGGAGGAGGAGGATTTGCTTTGAACGACGTTGGCGCAACAGCCTCCTGCAGTATCGGACCTTTCCCGGGCATCCCATCTCTGTGCGATGTGACGGCGCACCCGCAACCCACGGGGGAAGCTTGTGCGAGAGCACACGGAGCACGACAGGTACGATTTCGTCTTGGCCGGCAGCCAACGGATGTGTGCCTGTGACTGCTGTGGTCACCGGCTGGCTGGCTGGCTGACTGATTGAATGATTGATTGCCTTACCGGAGGCATCCGGGACTCCAGGGAGAGGGGCAGAGCCGAAGAGACCAGTCGCAGCTCACCGAGAAGAGGCAGCTGTCGTCGGGTAGCCACCTGGGGTTGACCGCGTTCCGAAAAGAGTTGGTAAGACGGGTGGCTGCTGGCCGAGGCTGCAACGCCGTCTCAAAGAAGAGCATGATGCAGGTTTGACCACGGCATGGGAGGGGGAGAAGCAGAGAGACGGACAGAAAGAGATAGAGCGAGAAGCCAGCCACAAGGAGGGCCGGGATGAGCAGACCTGCAGAGTGCAGCAGCCTGGAGGACGAGATGGAGCAAGATCAGAGAGTGGGAGGAGGCACTGCCGGCCGGGTCTGTGATGACGACAGCCCCCTGTGAAAGGAGTTGTTGAATATTGTCTACGGATACCTAGCTGTTTGTCTGGCTAATTATGTCGCTCGACTAAAGCCAAATACATGTCTGTGCATACGAATGATCGCACATGATGGACAGGGAAGCAGGCCGAAGAACGAACATACACATATTGAAGCTGACAGGCAATAGAAACGAGAATATGGATGACAAAAGTGCTCTCAGCCCGGTCGGTTGGTCTGTTGGCTGGCTGGATCCACGTTAATTGATTGATCGATAGAATGAATGATGGTCCAACGGGAGAATTGCTCGAGACATGCGTCGGGTGCTGGGGACGCCATCGGCCGAGAATCGGGCTGGGCAATCCCACCCGAGGACCTCCAGCCCCAGGGCTGGCGAGGCGCCTGTTGGCCGGATGCACCATGCTGTTGAAGACGAGCCCCGGTGCGTGGGCATCTCGACAGACGTCAAAAAGGCACAGATCAAGCAACAACTGACAGGACGTTATCCGTCCAAGAAGTCAGAGAAGTCGAGACATGCATCCCGCCAGCACGCCGGTCTCGCAGGGGCAGGGCAGGGCATCGTCCGTTTGCGAGCGAGTATTCTTGCTTTGCAGCTGAGGCTGCTGCAGCGAGCGTTAACTCTATCTTGCCGTCTTGTCTCTCGTCTATCCCGTCCTTGTCTGTATGTATTATGTATGTATGCATGTCTCTGGGGAGGCGCCAACTGACGGTGTCGGGCACTTTCAGGCTGCTGGGGCTGCAATCAGTGGCAGTGACATACAGTGACATACCTCTCATGCAGTGGGTAGGTACGTAGAGTCAGTCCCCCATGTGCGCGTGTGTATGTTAAGGTAGGCCAATCTGTGTACGAGTGAGTGCAAGCTGCGGGTGTGTCTCCGTGGGGGAGGGGAGAGCGCTGGATGGGTGGGAGCATCGCGTCGCGTTGCGTTTGACGTCGCACAGCTGCAACGCTGGAGCGGCGACGACGACTGCTGCGTACTCGCGCGGTCTGCGCCTTGCCCGAGATGGCAGGTTAGGCAAGTCAGGGTTGAGATCACTGCGGGTGCTTTGTGTGCATGGTCGTCCCCCGTTTTGACTAACATCGCGGGCGTACTGGCGACTGGCGATCGACGAGTGACGGTCTCGATGCGACTCTCGACGTGAGGTTGTTTAGTGTTGATGTCTGTCGATGGGACCCTGGGCTGGGGTTGTACCTACGCGCAGCATGCAGGTATGCAGGTATGTGGGCATGTATGTATTAGCCTTGGGATACGAACCCGTGACGCTGGACAGGCAGAGACGGGCGAGACACCGGGACGGATCTGCCATTTGCGATGGGCGCAGGTAGGTAGGCAGGTAGGGTATGTCGACGCGGCGGCGGATGCGAGATCAGAGATGCGAAAAAGAAAGCGGACGAGATAGAGACCTGCAGCTCCAAGATGGCCGGTAGGCGCCTTGATTGGCGATGTCGCTGACGATGGCTTGCGCATTAGGCCCGGATATTTCCACCAGCCAGACGCCCAAGGTGAACCCAGATCTGAGTCTGTCTTGGTCTCTTCTGGAACGGGGTATTTGAGATTGCTTCAGAGTCTCGTGTGTCTTGGTCCGTAAACGCACATCATCATCGCACGAAAGTCGACATACGGCCTACATGCGCACGCAGCACGTCGAGCCGTGAAGAGGCGGGGAGAGAGCGTGTTGGTTCACGAACTAGAGGCAGAAGAAAAAGAAAGACACAAAATGACCGATGTCGTACAGGAGGAGCAGAGGTTTGAGACGCCCGGAGAGTTCCCAAAATACTGGGCGCCAATTCGTCATGTCACACAGTTTACTCTACCTTGGTGGACCGTCTCACAGACAGCCAAACGGCGTCAACCCCATCCAGGCCGCATTTGCATGGAGTCTCTGCTATGTGTGTATGTAGGTTGGATGCCGTCGCAGTATGCAGTCAAGGTCATTTGGAATGGGAATCGAGAATGACATGCGGTGGAAGGCGGTGGTGGTTGGCCTCAAACGTCTAGCAGAGGGAACCTCGGTCAAGGGTCCTTCCCGGATGGGACATGATGTTCGCCAGAATCATCCAAGCCAAGTCCGCTGGATGGTCCGGAATCATCAACGCTGAGGGTCAATCACGACGGCTCTCTTGAACCCCAGCGCGGTGATGGTGTGAATGCCCGGGAGTTGAAGGACGATCCAACCGCTCACCCCAGTTCGTCCATCTCACGCCCTCTCTCTCATCCACCCCTTGTCGACGACACCTCTATTTGGCTCGTCTCTTCCCGAACTCCGGCAGTGACGGAGGGTGCGGGATAGGTCGAGGATCACGACCGCATTCCAACCACACTCCAACAGCGCGGCTGACCGGTTTTTTTTTTTTTTTATTCTCCCTCGACCGTTTCCCCCAATGGCGATGGCCTTGATTCCCACCCAGTCCGCTACAACATTGGTGGCGTCCTCCATCACAACGAAGCCCTCATCACCCTCCCCGGAAACTCACAGATCGGGCTTTGGATGCTGGAGGGCGCTGCTGTCCCAGTGCTGCAGGACGGGCTTCGATGGTTGAGGGGGGCAGAGAAAGGGAGAGAGAGGGCGAGGGCATGGAGCAACTTTGGGGCGCCGGGGCATCATGGGGCCGCCGCGTGATGGAGGCACGCCACCTTGGGTCTTTTGGTCGGGAGGATGGTGGTAATGGTGGTGGTGGTAGTGGTGGTGATGCTGTTGTGGTGGTGAGGGGTCGAGTTGAGGGGCCGGTCGGGGAGTGGGCAGGCATAAGAGACATCGACGAGGGTCTGATGCACGCATGTAGGCTGCACCGCGAGGAATACCGCCGACGGGTCATGGACATGACATTGATGTTTGCTCGTACGAGAAGAAAATGTCTTAGCCACCGCGGAGTGAGGCTCGACTAACACGGCATGCGGTATGGCTTGGCGGACAAGGCAAGGAAGGCAGGCAACGGCGAGTGAGTGGATGGCGGCATGGGCATGGACATGGACATGGGCAAAAAAGGGTACTCGCGATGTCTACGGAGAGGCGTGTACTCACGGGCTGGGTAGCACGGCTCTGGATACATGACTTGCAATGACGTGAAGTATTGTGTGGGTTTCCAGGCGAGGCCGAGTGTGAGAAGAGACATGACGATGGTCCCTTGATCACAACTGATGCATGTAAGTCACGGTGAGCGAGTGAGAGAGCGGCCCCCCGTGTTTGACGGGCAGGGGGGATGCTGAGGCGAATGCATCTGCGATGGAGGCTGGCTCACTTATATGATGAGGACGCTCCCGTGTGTGCCGAAAGTCATGGTTGAGCTTGTATAAACCCTTCTTTCCATCTTGCTGCCTCTTCACTTTGGCGACGACGACCAAAGTCGAATTATTAATAGGAGGTGCCTAGCTCAGCGCCGTTGAAGTGGCCGCCAGCTCCCGTCTGCGCCTCGTCTCGCCTCGCCCATACCATCACATCACATCCCATCACCTGGACCCAAGACCAACAAACACTTTGGGTAGCTAGGCATTCTCGACCACCAGTCATCCGTATCCTCGCCGTCCCCAGTCTGCTGCCATTCGTCGGCTCCCCCTCAAGAAAGACAAGACGCCACCAGCGGTGGGAGATGACCCCTGAGCAGAGCGTCGGCCGAGCCAGCAGCGACAGCGACGGTCGAACCCCCACAGCGGCGCCCGCCCGTCAGATACGCAGTCCGTTTTGCCGCCTGGAGTAAAGAAAGGCAAAGCAAAGAAAGGCAAGGCAAATCAAGGCAAGGCCAGGTCAGGTAACCGGC